CTGCAGGGGATTATGGTATAGGTTCAGGTCCCACACCGGGTCATTTTGCCGAAAGCGGCAGTGGGAAGAGCCCGAGCGAGAGCGACAATGGCGCACACCTGGTAGAGTGGGATGGGGTTTCGGTCGGTCCTTTCAGCTGAGGGTCTCGAAAGTCCTCCTCAACAATGAGCTTAGCGCGGAGAGGATCAGAGGAGAACGCGATAGCACTTCAACACCGCGAGAGAGGGAAAGGTTGGTAGGTAGGCCTTACTTCTCTGAGCGTTGGTTGGAGGGAGTGCGGTGTGAAATGCAGTGGGCACGAATCTTGCGAGTTAGGGGAGAGAGAGGGGGGAGAGAGGGTTTCCCGGATGTCGTGCGAGCTTGAAGGTCGAGCGGAAAGGAAAAGGGAAAGGAGAAACAGAAATCGGAGAAGAGGACAACAGGATGGGGGTCGACCAATCTCGCGCCACTCTCGTTTCTCGAGCGGAAACCGCTATGAAAGAACTGGACATACACCCTCCTGACCTGTCCGAGCTGGGTTGGGATGATTTCCAGGCGCTTGAGACTACACTCTATCCGGACGGCTCGGTCAAGGACAAGGACATGTTCCGGTACTACGTGAGGGGATTCAAACAGCAGCAGCACGTCCGACTGCTGGCGAGGAAAGGGAAGGTTGAAGAGTGCAGGACCTACATCGCCGAGTGAGTGACACGTGAGCGTGAGGGAGTGACATCATCCCATCATCCCATCATCCCGTGTTGCGGTGCTTTCAGTCTGGTCTCGGGCGAGGCTGAGACAGCCCCTTCCTCGTCGGCTGGGTCCCCCGAGTCTGGTTCCTCCCCTCAGTCACACGTGGGAGACCCAACGAAGAGGCAGAGCGACGACGAGTTCAGAAAGCGACGCGGGAACGAGCAGGACGGCGACACTGGCGAGCCGACAAGACAGCAGTAGTGGACGTAGCAGGATGTGAGCAGGTGACGTGCAGAGGGCAGGGGGGTTTGGTGGGCGGATGTTTGCAGACACACGGGGATGTGCCAGTGTCGTGCTCTTTTTTCGGTTTGTGCGTTGGGTGCTTGACTGGTGTGTGTGGGTATTTTTTGAAGTCGCTGATTCAAGGATTCATACGTGTAATGACACATGTGCACAATCGGATGAATGCATGGTTACGCACAGAACACCCACACCAAGCATCATTCAGCTGCTTACGGCAGTAGTCTCGGCAGAGGTGAGATCAGGTGCCTTTTTCCCCCTGTTCAGTGCGCCAGTCTGTCTGTCTACCACACCTTGCCGTTCTTCTCAACCTTGAGGCCGGCGTCCTGTAGACAGACAGACAGACAGACAGACAGGCACCAACACAACCGCATGGACGGCGTGTGTCTCACTCACGACGTGATCTGATCGCTCACATCGAATATCTTGCAGAACGTGTCAAAGTCGATCTCGTCGGCGTCACCCGCATACAACTTCAACATCACCTGCACACACACACACACAGAGGGAGAGAGGTCCGTGCAATGCAAGCCCTCTCTCTGTCTTCTACCTCCTCACTCACAGCCCACCTCTATCTCCTTGTCAGCGATGTCTATGTTGCACGTCTGGAAGGCCCTCTTGAGACACTCGGCAGTGATGCGGCCATGACACACGTCACCCTCACCATCGTCCACACCCGGATCAGGACCACCAGCAGCACTTGCAGCAGCAGCAGCAGCAGCTGCTGCTGCTGCGGACGAGGAGGAAGACGCTTCGGTGGCAGGGGGGACGAGCAGAGAGCGGGGATCCACCGCATCCTCACCTGTAGTCAGTATGTGTGTCGGGGAGGGACAGTGGTGCGTCACGGTTGCATATGTGCTTCGTGCTTGCTAACCTTTGACAAAGGCATTCCACAGGTAGCGCTTGGCTCGATTCACGGCCTCCGCCATCACACGTTGCTGCACACCACACCACACGACACAGCAGCAGATCCACTCAGCACAAAGTGTCCCATCCACGAGCGTGCCCCAGCTCACCTCCTCTGCTTTCACGATGTTGCCTCCCCGTTTCCTCCCGCCCCCCCTCTTGGGTGCCCCTGCAGCCACCCGGCCCTGTCCGCTGGCCTTCGCCCTACCCCTGGCCCGACCTCCACCCCTCCCCCTCGCACCATCGCCCAGTGAGCGGGCCGTCGCGCCGATCGGGACCGTCGGAGGGCCGGTGACCTCTTCAAATACATCATCCTGGTCGGCTCCATGGCCGTCCTCCTGATGCGCCTCATCCACTGACATGTCCGCTGGCCCTCCGCTCCTCTGATGACCCTCCTGCTGCTGCTGCTGCTGCTGCTCTTGGCGCGCGGCGGTCCGCGGCCCCTTGACGGGCTTCTCAGGGCCGGAGCTCTCCCTCTGAGAGTCGGTCATGCGATTGGACGGCTTCCTGCGCGCCTGCCGCTTGCGCTTGCGGGGCTGAGGAGTCTCTGATTCACTGCTGCTCCTGTCGCTACTGCTGCTGTCATCGTCTTCCTGGCCGTCATCGTCGTTGCCGCTGCTCCGGTCGGCATCGTTGGCAGTGCTCTGTGCAGGGGGCGCGGCGGCAGGGGCTGGCGGCGGGTGTGAGGGTGGAGATGGTGCAGCAGCAGCAGCAGCAGCTGCTGCTGCTGCGGATGATGACGGCTGCTGCTGCTCGTCGGTGTCGTCGGGCTGGTGCTGGCTGGGTTGCATTTCGGAGAGTGACATGGCCATGGCGAGCTGGAGGTCGTTCTGCAGTCAAGAACAGACACAAGGCACGTCAACATACGCAGTTGAGTGTGTGTGTGTGTGTGTGTCACCTCTTCATCGTCATCGTCCTCTTCGTCGTCTTGCTCTGAAAATGCGCATACGCAATCAATCAACCAACCACCCATCAGCTCGCCACGCGCACTTGCCCATCCATCCATCCACTCATCCAATGACTCACCTGGTCCCCTCTGCCTCCTTGCCCGCGGCTTGGGCTTGGCCCTCTTCCGCCCCCCGCCACCCCGCCCTCTCTCCCTCTCCCCACTGTCATCCTCACCACCACCACCACCACCACCACCACCGTCGCCATTCTCCCCTTGGCCATCCTCGTCGACGTCCACAGGCATGGCGGCAGCTGCTGCTGGTGCTGGTGCTGGTGCTGCGGCAGGTGCGCTCTGCTCCTCACCTGCAGCCGCTGCAGCAGCAGCTGCTGCTGCTGAGGAGCTCTGGGGCTGACTCTCCCCGTTCCCATCAGCATTGGCGTCGTCGTCAGGCTCGTTGGCGTGCATCTCGGACAGAGAGAGAGCCTTAGCGAGCTGAAGCATCTGCATGACATGATGAGAGGAGAGAAATCGCAAAACAAGTGAGTGATCAGAACAAAACAAACGTCGGCCGTGGATCACCCGTGGATCATCTGCTGTCCTCTCTCTCTCACCTCGTCCTCATCCATCTCGGCATAGTCAGCCACCCGGCCTGCGGACACACACACAAGACAAAACACACCGTATGTACGACAATCATTCAACCAACAGCCATCGCGCTTCATGCTCATTCAGTGTGCAGTCATCTCGGTTGAGCTCACTCACGTCGTGCAGGCCTCCCAGCTCCCCTCCTGGCCCGTTGATGCTTCCGTCGACTCGTCACAGACTTCTCGCCCTCATCATCGCCATCGGCGGCGTCCTCGCTCTTCCTCTTGCGTTGTCGATGCCTCTGTTGCTGCTGCTGCTTCCTGGTGGCCCGCCTGGGCGGCGGACTCTGGTGGTCCTCTGACGATGCAGATGAGCCCTCACCTTCATCATCGTCGTCCTCCTCGCCAAGGCCGAGTGGCACGTCGCCATCATCGCCTGGGTCACCACTGTCCATGGTCTATCACCATATGCCGCATGCACATGCGGGGGGCTTGGGGGCTTCAATGCGAGCTCGGCGACGAAGAAAGAAAATTTGGCGGTGCTGGTGGATGAGAATGGCATCTATAGTGTAGGGGGAACGGAGGCAGGAGCTCAATCAGTCCGGCTGACCTCCCACTCCCTCTTTGCCGAGCCCCTTGGAAGCCGCCCACGGTTTCCCCTCCTCTCTGTGCGACCATGTGGTGGACAGCAGCACTGACCTGACTGACGGACCCAGCCCATCCCTGCTGCCACGGGCGGCGTGACCCTGCCTGTCTTTCTTTGCCCCTTTCGCTGCGCCCCTCCCTCTGTTTGCCTTGCCCCATCCCAATTCTGAAGAGCCTTCATCCGACGCCTGGTCTCGTTTCTCACACAAGGGGCCGAGCGGCAACCGCACACCCATCCCCCCCCACACAGGTTACACACACAAGTGGCACCTTACACATCACGGTGATGCTTGTACACAGAGGCCCCACTTTGCGTGTGTTGTCAGGGCGATTTTTGACAGAAGAACTGGTTGCCGCGGGGCTCCTTTCCTCATCCGTCCACGGCCGTGAGTGACAGCGGCCTATCCCGATTCTCCCGTTCCCTCCTGTCCGTCTGAGTGAGCAGCTGATTACTGCATTGACTGACCCATCACGTATGTCCGGCTCCGTCCATCACCACCACTTCTCCGCCGCCCCTGCCGCACCGACATACCTGATGACGTCCGGCGGGAACCCATACCCGACTGGCGGGCAGAGCACCATGATGGCCCCCAACCCCCCGCCGCCGCTGCCCAACCCGGTCCCACAGCCGTCGGTCGACGCAACAGCCCACCACCACCACCAGCACCAACACCAGCACCAGCACCATTCTTCCCACCACACGACGGTCTATCACGCGTCACACCACCACTCGCATCAGCATCATCACCTCAAGCACTCGGGCAACAGTGGTGTGAGTGGTATGGGGTCTCCTCGTGGCGGCGGTGGGGGTGGGTGGACGCGTCGCGGGCCGTGTCCGCGCGGCAAGGACATCGTGCGATTTTTGGAGGGGCAGGACATAGAGGACTTTTACGCGCTAGGTGAGACGCTGAGCATCAGTGGCGGACTCAACGACAAGAAGAGACCCACGCTCAAGGAGGTCAGTCAGCTACCTAGGGAGGGGAGGGGGCTTTGTGTCTCTTGCTTGTCGACCTTCCTTGTGTCTCTCTGACAGGCGTTTGATGCCTATGGCGAGGAGCGGATCATCAAGGTGGTCAAGAAGGAGAGCTTCCGCACGCCACTGGACGAGAAGAAATGGTCAGTCACCCGAGACATCCCCCCGCACCGCTCCCAGATACACCATACCCGACACCCCTGCCCCATCTGCTGTGTGTCGACCATCAGGCGTTACGTGCACTCGCGTTTGTTGCGTCTGCCGCCCCACGAGAACCTCCTTCACCTCATCGAGATTTTCGAGTCGGACAACGAGTACTATGTCGTCATGGAAAAGGTCACACGCACTGACTGCACTGCACTGCACGGCATGATCGATGCACCGCGCCTGTGTTGGCGTGAGGGCGGGTGTGGTGTATGCGCCATGTGTGTGTGTGTGTGTGTGTGTGTGTGTGTCAGTGTCACGGTGGTGAGTTGTTTGATTTCCTGTTGACGGCAAAGTCCGTCCCTGAAGAGGAATGCAAACACATCATCAGACAGATTCTCAAGGTACGGTACACACAACACACAGGCATGGCAACCAACTCTAGCCCTTCACGTGCCACCCTCTCTCTCAACCCACGTACCCACCACCCACGCACACACCTGCCCCCGTGTCTCTGCCATGCCATGCAGGCGATCCGCCACCTGCATCAATTTGGCCTCCTTCACAGAGACGTCAAACCAGAAAAGTCAGCTACCAACACTAGCAACCCCCCCCCTCCCCCAAACACACACACCAATGATCTTCCCCCCTGCCAGTCTGGTGTTTAAGATTTCCAACAGCAAGAATCTGCTCTTGCTGGATTTTGACACGGTGATCCCTTTGGACGGTTACGCCGCGGACATCCTGGACGAGGAGCGGCGCACCGGGCCGCACCCGAAGCGGCTGGCAGGGACGCACGGATACCTGCCGCTGGAGGTGTACGAGGGCTACCCCTTCGGCCAGCAGGTGGATGTGTGGGCCGTGGGGGTCATCCTGTATATTCTCATGGCGGTCAGTAGGGGCACCAGACACACATGCGGGGTGGGTGGGGAGACACATGTGTGTATGTGTGTGTGTGGCCACACAGGCTGTGCCGCCGTGCCCGATGGAGCAAATGACAAACTCCAAGGAAGCACTCGCCATTCTCAGAAAGACCAGAGAAAAGGGGGTAAAGAGTGAGTGGATGGCCGCCAACGGGCAGCTCGTGTGTGTGTGGATGTGCAGATTGACTGGACTCGTGGTCCGTGGGAGGAGTTTCCCGAGGCCCTCGACCTCTGCAAACAACTCCTCACTTGGGAACCCGAGAAACGACCCACGGCCGGCGACGCACTACAGCACGCATGGTCGGTAGGGTACACACTTGGGGCGTGGGTGGTGACACAAACAAAAGACTGTCGTCGTTTCTCATCCCATCGATGGATACCGTCCGTCTACTATATAGGCTTTTGGAGACCGAGACATCGAATCTTCTGTTCCCTCCGGAGCCACCCCGTGCACCGATCGAGCCGTCCGGCTGCTCACTGCCCGCCGCCTACCACCCCAACAACCCCACCGCCCGTCGCTACGGCTTCGTACCGGACCCATCTGGTCCATGCCCATGCGTCTACTGTCGGCGCTCCCGGGCCATCAAGGACGGCATCCCCGAGCACGAAATGGACGTCGATGACGTCTTCGAGAAGCGACTCGGCAAGCGAGACAACACGCGCGCATCTTTGGACAGAGGGGCCAGCACCGAGATCGGCGACGACGCCCCATCGGCGCTGAGGAGCACTGACCAGCTGTCGAGCGGGAGCCCGTCAGCAGCATCCTCGTCTCTCCACCTCTCACAACGCTCCGTAGGTGCCGGTGCGGGCAGAGGGTGGAACCAGTGGTCCAACTGGCCAAATCCACGAGTGCCGGGGAGCCCATCATCACCGGGACGCCCACCCAAATTCGGCGCGCGGCCGCCGCCGTCGCCATTACCGATCGGCAAGATCGCCCGCAATCTTCGCCCGCGTCGGTCGGGTGCTGGTGCTGATGCTGGGGGCGGTTCAAGCATCGGGTCGTTACGTGTGTCTGGGTATGAGGCTGGTGTCAGCAGTGGGATGGACGGGTCGCCGGCCACGCACTATGCCGGGAGAGGAGATGGCGAGGACGTCTATGAGGGCGCACAGCAGGAGTATGCGGTAAGTTCCTGTAGACACACAGACGCCTGGAGAGGCTTCACACATCAGATCCACTCTTTCCTCGTGTCTCTGTCTGTGACTGCAGGAAGATGACGGTGACTACGGCTACCACGAATACGCCAACTCTCCCGGCATGCTGATCGACAACTCCCCCTCCCACGCCTACCCGACCTCCCTCCACGGCCACACCAACCACCCACAACACACGTATAACCTCCGCACATCGTCACGCAGCAGAGGCATGGACCAGTCGGTTGCCGGCGGTCCGTCCGGCACGCTGCCGTACCCCTACAACATGCCCAAGTCTGCTGGTGGTCCGATGCACATGGTGGGCTCGAATGGGGACGGCGGACAGGGGGCGCGGAGCAACAAGTGGCTGCGCATGTTCCGGGGCGGTGGGCAGTCCGGTGGACAGTCAAGAAGACCATGATATGTACGTTGGGTGTCTATGTATGTGAGTGTCTGCCTGTCTGCTTGTGGGTGGCATGGTATGGCATGCATGGCCCTCGTGTATGCGTGCCGTCGTGTGATCGGCTGTGGGTGAGTTTGGCGTGTCCATATGCACGTGGGGTGGGTCGGTGGATGGCCGTGTGTGCGTTGGGGGGGGTATGTTCTGGTGGGCACTGAATTAACAGAGAGCAACCAAGACAGACAGACACCGATAGACAGACAGGTCCTTGTCGGGTGCTCCTCGCTCCTTTTCCTGCGAAGGAGAGACACCCTGTTTTTGCTTCACCCCCCGTCCTTGCCCACTCCCGCCCCTCTTACATCCTTCCCCTCCCCCCCTCCCCCTCCCGCCCCCAGGCAGACCACCTTACTCTCTATCTACCTCTTCCTCCTTTCTAGCCAATGCTTTTGCCAATGAAGTCACCCCAAATGAAGTCACTCATCTACCACTATTACTCCCTTCCCTATCTGTGTTTCCTACACATGTACGTGTCCGTTTATATGCGTGTGTGCGTGTGGAGATGGCGAGACACGTGTGCATGTGTGTGTGTGCGCGTCGTTTGGCCGGTGGCTGGTAGCTAATTCGGAGGTTGGTGGTTGGTGGTTGGTTGGTGGTTGGTTGGTGGTGTTGGGAGTGATCTGTCTGTGTGCGTGGGGCAGCTAAGATAAAACTGGTCAAGAAGAACGTACCAGTCATGTTGCCGTGCCGTGCCGTGTGCATAATGTTCGTATATGTATGTATGTGCTAACGGACTGAAAGCTGAAATATGGCGTCTATCGATGTACCCGTACGCTTTTGGCTCTCTCTACTTCATGGTTGGCTGGAATGGAGTGTTGGATGGACTTACCTTGGTCTCATGCGCATGGCGTCTCGTGACCGATGAAGCACTAACATACTCATTCATACGGCAGGTTAAACCGGAGACAGAGAGCGGACTCCCAGACACACGGCTGGGATTGAATTTCAAGCCGGCCCGGATGCTATATGCGCATGCGGCCCCCATCCTCCGGTCGAGAATCTCGACACGAAGCGTCTTTTTTTTCTATTCTCCTTAACTGCAAAATCGCCCATCAACTGTCAGCAATCGGCTCGAGAGGCCCCCCACTGGCAGGCCAGGAGAGGAGAGCGCGCCGCGGGAGGAGCAACGGCGCCTGCACTAGCTGGCAGGAGGAGACGGACCAAAGAAGAAAAAGAGAAAGGATGCCGGTGAAGGAAAATCTCCCGTCAGCGTCAAAATTTGGCTCGAGCGGCCGGCCAGGCCAGATGGCAAAGAGAGAGGGGGGAGCAGCCCAGCCTGCAGGAGGACGAGGTGATGGACGGCGACGAGGAGATGGATGGCTCCCTGAACGAGGATATGGAGCCGCCGACCAGCAGGAGAAGACTGGAGGAGTATGGGAATTCTGGCCAGAGAGAGCCTCATGTCATCTGTTTGCACCGTCCGCCTGTTTGTCTCTGCATCAGTGGCTTGGCAGCCCAGCAGCTGGCGGCAGCAGCAGCAGCAGCCATAGCAGCTCAGCAGCAGCTGGCGGACACAGCGAGGGCCAAGACAGCGTTGCAGATGGAGACCACCAGGTGCGTGGGCGAAAGTGTGTACACTCAAGGTGAATTCAGTGGTCTATGTGTTGTATATCTCCAGGTTGAGGGCCGAGATGCGAAGCCTGCAAGTGGCGTTCCACCACCAAATATCAGACAAGCAGGGCCACATCAACCGGTAGTATATGCAGGCAGCATGCAAAAAGACACACGTCCATGTATCAGTGCGCCTGTGGTCGATTCACAGGCTGGTGAGGGCTGTGGAAGAGGAGAGGAGGGGGCGCAGTGAAGAGCTACAGCGGTCGGTTGGCCACTGACTGGGGGAGGGTTGCGCACGAGCAATCTTGACGGGCGTTGTGTTCTTGTGTTCTGTCATGTTCTGGTTGCAGCCACAAAGAGCACGAGCAGCAGTGAGTGACGCTTTCGCTTCTCTCTAGGGTGTGCGGGTGTTTGTATGTCTTTGTGCATTTCTCTCTGTATGCGCAGGGCTCAGGAGCTCATGAAGGCCACCAAGGAGCAGCAGCTGGCCACCATCCGCGAAGAGGCCACACGGTCAGCGCTCATTTGTGTAATTGGATACAGGGCTGATGTTTGTGTGCTCGATGAATCCATGACCGCAGGTCGGAGAGGGAGAAGACGGCCGCCCAGCAGGAGGCCGCCGCCGCCCAGAAGCAGACCGCGGCCGCCCAGCAGCAGGCCGCCGGCCTGAAACGGTACGTGAATTGGCATGTATTCGATATCCCACCCCCCCAACGTGCACTTTTACCGTTTCTTGTGTTGTGCAGGGCCAGGTTGGCGGACGGCAAGACGTACCGGGACATGGTGCTCAGGTGAGACATGCCCCTCCCACTGAGACAGACCTTTGTGTGTGTGTCTCCCATGTGTGACTCACATGGTTGTCTGCTGCCCGTCCACCAGGTTGCAGGCCGAAATCCGCACACTCACCGACAACAACAAAGGCCTGGCTGCCGAGAAGCACAAGAAGGAGGAGGAGCTCAAGACCAAGCTGCGGTAAGCAAACGTCACGTCACGTCAGTTAGTCTCCTGTCGATTGGTCTCTCGCTGGTTTTGTGCGCGTGCAGGCGAAAGGCAGAGATGCCGAAGAAAGAAGAGACCCTTCTCCGTCAAAATCAGGCTCGAGGGGCCGGCCAGGCCAGATGGAGAGGAGGACGGCAGGAGCAGCCCAGACCCCAAGAGAACGAGGAGATGGACGCCGACGAGGAGATGGATGGCTCCCTGAACGAGGAAATGGAGCCGCCGACCAGCAGGAGAAGACTGGAGGAGTATGGGAATTCTGGCCAGAGAGAGCCTCATGTCATCTGTTTGCACCGTCCGCCTGTTTGTCTGTGCATCAGTGGCTTGGCAGCCCAGCAGCTGGCGGCAGCAGCAGCAGCAGCCATAGCAGCCCTGCAGCAGCTGGCGGACACAGCGAGGGCCAAGACAGCGTTGCAGATGGAGACCACCAGGTGCGTGGGCGAAAGTGTGTACACTCGAGTTTTCAGTGGACTATGATTTGCATCTACAGGTTGAGGGCCGAGATCCAACAGCTTCAGATGGTGTTCCACCACCAAATGGCACAAAAGCAGGGCCACATCAACCGGTAATACATGCAAGCAGCATGCAAAAAGACACACGTCCATCCATGTATCAGTGCACCTATGGTCGATTCACAGGCTGGTGAGCGCCGTTCAAGAGGAAAGGAGCGGGCGGCGTGAAGACCTTCAGCGGTCGGTCGGCCACTGACTGGGGGGGTCGTACACGAGCGATTCTGACGGGCGTTTTGTTCTGTCATGTGCTGGTTGCAGCCACAGGGAGCAGGAGCAGCAGTGAGTGACGCTTTCGCTTCTCTCTGGGGTGTGCGGGTGTTTGTATGTCTTTGTGCATTTCTCTCTGTATGCGCAATACGCAAGAGCTCATGAAGGCCAAGGAGCAGCAGCTCGCAGTCGCCCAAGACAACGCCACACGGTCAGCGCTCATTTGTGTAACCAATTGGACACGGGCTGATGTTTGTGTGCTCGATGAATTCATGAGCGCAGGTCACAGAGGGAGAAGGCGGCTGCCCAGCAGCTGACCGTCACCGCCCAGCAGGAGACCGCCGGTCTCAAAAGGTACGTCCCCACGTGCTCAACCTGCCCTTTTCCGGTTTCTTGTGTTGTGCAGAGCAAGGGAGGCAGATGCAAAGGCCAATCGGCAGGAGGTGTTGAAGTGAGCCAAGCCCCTGACACTGAGACAGACCTTTGTGTGTGTCTCCCATGTGTGAGTCACTGCGTTGTCTGCTGCCCGTCCATCAGGCTGCAGGCGGACCTCCGCACACTCACCCACGAGAACAAAGGCCTGGCTGCCGAGAAGCACAAGAAGGAGGAGGAGCTCAAGACTAAGCAGCGGTAAGCAAACGTCACGTCACGTCAGTTAGTCTCCTGTCGATTGGTCTCTCGCTGGGTTTGTGCGCGTGCAGCGACTTTACTGAGAGGGAGACATCCCTCAAACAAGAAGTCGAGCAGCTGCGCAAACACCAGATTGAGGGGTAAGTACGTGCTCACACAGTCGACCTGTTGTCTCTATGTCTCTCGATCATTTGGGGATCTATGCATGCAGGCTGACGGCTGAGCTGGCCGGGCTGCAGACCACCGAGGAGCTGAGTGAATTTTGTGAGCGGCTTGCGGACATTCACGAGCAACAAATAAAGGACCTGGTCAAAGTCCAAAAGCTCAACAAGAAGGCAACGAAGGCGCTGCAAAGGAAGAAGGAGCAGGAGGCACGAAGTCAGGGGGAAGCGGACAGAACGAAGTGCATCATTTGCCAAAGCAGGGACTGCAACACCATGATAGTGCCATGCGGCCACGTCTGCGCATGCCGCGGCTGCGCGAATACCCTCGTGCGCCGGGGGAGCGCACAGAATCCGGCTACATGCCCTATGTGCCGCGAGATCATTGGACGTGTGGTCAGGGCCATTATCTCGTAGTGACACATAGGCATCTCCCTGACGGGCTGCCTCCCTGACTGACTGACTGACTGGTTGCCTCCCTGGCTTCCCCCCTGACGGACTGACGAGCCAGGTTGGCGGACGGCAAGACGTACCGGGACATGGTGCTCAGGTGAGACATGCCCCTCCCACTGAGACAGACCTTTGTGTGTGTGTCTCTCATGTGTGACTCACATGGTTGTCTGCTGCCCGTCCACCAGGTTGCAGGCCGAAATCCGCACACTCACCGACAACAACAACGGCCTCGCAGCCGAGAAGGAGAAGAAGGAGGAGGAGCTCAAGATCAAGGAGGGGTAAGCAAACAAACGTCAGTTAGTCACCTGTCGATCGATCCATCGCTGGGTATGTGTTCCTGCAGGGCCTTTGCTGAGAGGGAGACATCCCTAAAGCAAGAAGTCGCCACGTCAGTCACGGAGGCGCACGGCAACTGGCTGCCTTGTCTCTCTTCGATGCACACGCCCATGGGTGTGTGTCTATCTGTGTTGGTCATGCAGCGCCACAGAGAAGGCGGACAGGCTGGAGGCCACATTAGAAGAGGTGCTGCAAAAGGAAGAGGCAAGAGTGGAGGCCGCCCTGTGCGTCATCTGCCAGGCCGTACCATACACCACCGTCTTCCCGTGTGGCCACATGTGTGCCTGTGGGGAGTGCGCGGAGGACTTGATGCGCAGGCGCAGGAGCTCGAGGCGGTGCCCCATGTGCCGCGAACAAATTGGGGATTACACGACTGTGTATCAGGCTTGAATGAGTGAATGAATGACTGGCTGGCTCCCCGACTGGCTGCCTGACCGGCTGTAGACTGACTGATTGATTGGGTGACTGATTGATGGGACGTGATCGACGTCAGGCTGAGGCTGGATAGGGGAGAGGGGATGGATATCGTTGGCTACATTATATATCAGTCTTGTCGTATTTTGACCAATGGGCTGTTCTTCCCTACTCGGGGTGACTTGATTGTGCGTGTGGTTGGATAGAGACGATCCTGTCGTATCGCTAATTCTTTCAAGGATTCACGTACTTTCTCTGCGGCCAAGGCAGCCAACCAGACTCACCCACGTCCACACATCCATAGAAACGCATTCACTCACTCACACACACACACACACACGCGCACCTGTCCCCGCCTTCCTCTCTGCTGCATCGAATCGAGCCGCGACAGAGCCATGCCATCCCTAGCTAAGCATGCCCACCCCATACACACACAACACAACGCAGGGCAGGGCAGGGCAGGGCAGGGCACGCACAGCACATGCCAGAGTATATATACGGACGGCTATATATCCACATAACATGCAGGCCAGCCAGCCAGCCAGCCATGAAGGAATGCCATGAATGAATCTACTCAGTCCGCCTCCCTCCCTCGCTCCCACTCTCTCCCTATCTACGCCACGCCTGGGTGTGTCTGCTGCATGTGGGTGTGTGTGTCTATCAGTCCTCCCCCTCCTCGGGCGGGGCGTTCTCGTCGATCTCGCCACCATCTGTGTGACACACACACACACACACACACGTGTACACAAGTGACACAGGTGAATGGGCGGCTTCACGTGTGTGTACCTGACGGCAGTTCCTCCTCCAGTGGGTGCGGCTCTGGCTGCTCGACCAAATCCTCGGGCTCCTCCTGAATGTCACCTGCGCGCACACAAGCGGAGAGCAGGGGAGAGAGAGGGAGTGCGTGTCGGCTGATGCCCTCCCTCCCTGTGTGAGGGCGTTGCGTTGCGTAGGGTACCAGGTGCGGTTGGGTAGAAGGGCGGCACGCCAGCCTTCAGGCCATAGCCTATGTACACAGTCACGTACTTCTTGCCCTGTAAGTGGGACGGACAGATACAACACACACACACACACACACAGACAGACAGGATACACACACACACAGGAGAGAGAGAAGCAGACACGCGTGCTGCGCGTGGCTGTGTGCGCTCCTTCTCCCTGTCTGCACTGGGCTGCACTGCAGTCCACTTGACTTGACTGACCTGTGCAGCAATGACAGCCCCGGGCCATCTGAGGCTCTTGACGACCGTGACGGCGTAGCTCGTGGCGGCGTCCTTGACCGTGTAGGGCGCCGTGTCGCCCACCTGCTTGACCGACCACGCACTCTCAGACTCGCCTACCGCTGCGGTAATTATCACACAACAAACACAATACAGATAACTAACAGGGGGCGGCACAAGTGTGTGTGGTGGTGGGGTGAGGTGACTTACGTGGGTCAGTGTCCAGCGTGCGAAGGATGTCCTGCGGCGGGTCAGCCTCCTTCTGCGCATTGATCTGCACCCAGACACCCAGACACACATGTGCCTTGCTGTTGGTGGTTCTCCGGCAATGTTGCCTGACCTCATTGGCCTTCTGCGGCTCGGCCTCCTCGTCTACCTCGGGATACTGGGTCTTGCCTGCGGATGGATGGATGGATGGATGCGTGTGTGTGTGTGTGCGTGTGTCGGTAGGTACCGTTGATGAGTATGTAGTCCCTGCAGTGCGTCCACTTGTCGGCCGACGCGAAGTCCTCGCCGACCGGGTACTCAAACTCCAAATCCTCCTCAATGCCCTCTGTTAAACAGGCACACACACGCAAACAAATCTGGTCTATCTGTGTTGTCTGTCGTTGGCGGCGGGTGTGTGGTGGTGTGTGTGTTGATGTACCGCCCTCCTCTTGTGGTTTGAAGAGGCCGGCAGGGCACAGCACCGTATCGCTACTGATCAACGCTATCTGGCAACTGACCCACACACCAACACATGAATCATGTGTCTGTCTGTGTGGAGGGAGGGCGTCTGTGGATGCCTTTCTCTGTCTGCCTGTGTGTTACCGGAGGAGTTGTTTCTCCGTGCCGGGGAACCAGGGGTGGGAAATCACCAGACGATTCAGATCGCCTGCGTCCACCCCTCCACACACACACCAACAGGCGCAAATGTGGCGTCTGTCCGTGGGTTTGTGTGTGTGGAGGGGTGGTGTGTCTTGCCGGTGAACAGCTTCTTGATCTGACGGGCAGCTAGAATCTGCACCCACACACCCAAAGTGACGTTCGAATGCTCTTGGTGTGTGCGGTGTTGTGTGCACCGTACCTCCTTGGGCAACGCGTCAGGCAGCAGCACCCACGGCTCCAATACTACGCACACACATATGACGAGCACTTGCACTCGCCACCGCTCGTGTGTGTGTGTGTGTGTGTGTGTGATACCGTTATTGGTGACCCAGTAGGTGTATGTGTTGACGCCCGTGCCGCGCGCCTCTACCTCAGGGTCGGCACCTGACACACACACACACACACACACACGCAGGGATGGATGTGCGAGAGGTTTGGTTGTGTGGTGGCTGGCTGGTACACTTACTCTCGTCGATGCCTTCGATCTGCCCCTCCGCTACGTAATAGTCGCGCTCAGTCCCTGCACCACACACATGGCGTTCCTCTGGTCAATGTGCGTGTAGCGTGCGACGCCCAACCAATGCGTTCGTCACATCTGTCCGCCCATCCCATCCCCTCAGCCGCCCACTCACCGAGTATCTTGCCCCAGAAACGGAGCGACTGCAGGCCAGGAGTGTTCGCGCCCAGACGCTGGACCCACAACACAACACAACACAACACAACACAACAGAACAGAACAGAACAGAACAGAACAGAACATACACACGACTGACAGCGCCCTCCGATCTCCCCCCCCAACGCTCCCACGCACCCACCCTGAGTGAGCACGCGAGTCGGTACGTTTCCGTCTTGCTGAAACCGACGCCCGCCCACTCGAGGATGGCGGCCTCCTCCATGAAGTTGGGCAGCGACGGCACCGGCAGCGCAGACCCGTCCTCGCCCGCCGGCACCTATTAGCACCCATCGGCAGGACACGTCAACGCACAAACAGAGAGCTGCCGGGTGACTTACCGAGGTGAGGTTGACGGTCTCTGCCATCCATTTCTGCAAACGCTCCTGAGCAACACACACACACACACACACACACACACGCACCACATCCACAGCCAGCCATCCTTCCCGCGCGCATTAGGCATTCATTCACGTCGCTCCGGTGGCTCACCCACCAGTAGTGCGGGGTCCTCGGGCATGGGCAGCACCTGGTCGGGCGAGGACTCGCTGGGGAACGAGGTCTCCTTGATGTATCGCGAGAAGGCCTCGAAGGTGTCATAGGCGTCGGCGGGTTTCTCGGTGATGACCTTGGAGAGCACATGGGTCATGTGCTCGAAGAGGTTCTTGCCGCCGCCATGGTCCTTCTTCAGGAAGGCCAACGCCGAATCTACAGTCACCTCAGACGTCATTTCGGGCGAGAAAGAGGAGGGTCTCGTGCGAGCTGGAGGCCTCCTCGCCAAGCCGTGGCCAGGAGACGAAGGCTTGTCGCCGGACGACGGTCACGCCGTCCTCTCGATCCAATGATACATGTGGCAGGGCATTGCAGCGTACACAAAAACACATACAGATCCACAGATCCACTTGATTTGGCAGACACACGACACACTGCCCTCTCCAAAGACACACAGAGTTTTCCCATCCCATCCATCGGTCACATCTACTCACATCGTCACCCTGCCTGTGCCCTGCCCCATCCGCCTCACATCCACAACCGCACGGCCAGCCTGATGTGGTGGCTGGGGGTGTGGGTGGGTCTGGCCGCTGCTCACGGCGGCCGGCGCGTCTGCTGCACCAGGGGAGCCATTGATGAGCCCATGGTGGTCTTGTGCAGTGCCGCTGCCATAGTGCTGCAGCTGCAGCTGGCCACAGGCGCCCTGGATGTCCAGACCCCTGGGCTCCCTCACTGTACACGTGAACTTGTAGCTATGCGCCGCCTGCACCACACACATCACACACATCGATTGCGTCTGTCTGGTGCACCTGTCAGTGTGTGCGTGGCGCGGGCATGGCTGCGTACGTCTCTGAAGGCCTGGATTCTGTCGCGTGAAGGTGTCCGGAGTGCCTCGTCGCTGCCGGTCCAAGGGCTGAAGGGCAGCAGGTTGAGCCTGACTCGGTCCTTGCCGGGTATCCTGGTGAGTGGGTCGATCAGCGACACGAACGAGTCGATCTGCTCGGGCAGGTCGGTGATGCCCACGATCAGCAGGAGCTCGATGAACAGGTTGCGCGAGTCGCGACGTTGCCTTATCACGCCCCTGCAAACAAGGAAATGCAGGATGATATGGCGTTCTTCTTGTCTGTTCGCCTCTTTGTCGTTCTGTCCTCTATACTCGAATGCGTCTCTGAGTTCCTCCAGTGAGTGCGTCATGGTTGGCACCAGCAGCCGACGGGCCTCTTGATCAGCCTGCACCCATCGATCCATCCATCCATCCATCCACAGTTCCATCAGAGAGACGGTGGCTTGTTTCTTGTGTTGTGTTACTTACCGTGAGGAGTGCCCACGAGAGGACGGTGTTGAGGTTGGCCAGGCCGTGGATGGCCTCAGGCGACGGGCCCATCGTACTCACCGACAAACGGGACGGACCGAAGGCAAAGCCGCCCTGGTCGAGCAAGATCTGATGCACCGACACCCACAGTTTAAACAAGCGCCAGAAATGCGTGTGTGTCTTTGGTTTTTGTCACCTCGCACGCTTTGCTGAGGTTGTGGATGTTCTCTGTGGGCTCGCCCATGCCGGCCACCACACACGTCTGCACAGGAGGCAGCCCGTACCTGTCACACACACACACACCGTGCAGACAAACAGACTCTGTGTGTGTGTGTTTGTCTGAGTGTGGGTTGCTCACTCTCTGGCGAGTTTGATGGCCAGGTAGACCTGCCCCACAATCTCATCGACCTCCAGGTTCCGACGGAGCCCAAACGCACCGCTCGCACACGGACGACACGAATGGCTGCAGCCAACCTGCAGCCGACGAGAGGAGGAGAAACACAAACACCAGCATTCCCGGCATGTAGCCATTTCCCTCCCTCCCTCCCTCCCACTGACTGACTGACTGACTGACCTGTGTGGATATGCACACGGACGTCTTCTTGACGTGTGGCAGCAGCATCGTCTCGATCCGCTCCCCGTCACCCAGCCGCACATCCATCTTGACCGCACCATCAGCGCTCCGCTGCAGCCCCGCCACATCCACAGGTGGCCGATCCACCACCGTCTGGAAGATGTGTGAAAATGCCCCCGAGAAGCCGTACCGGCCCTCCAGCTCCCGGGGCTCCATCATCCACGGGTCTGCCCCATCCCTCAGCACCTTCCACACCTTCTTGGCACGCCCCTCGCCATTGAGCTTGTAGCCCAGCTCGCCCGGCGTCATGGCCAAGAGGTCGGGCAAGCGCCGGTTGGACGGCATCTGGAAGGACGAGATGGACCGACGCCGCCCCCCTTGCTGATAGCCATAGCTGGTGCCGTAGGAACGTGACGGCGAGTGTGATGGAGCAGGGGGTAGATAGCGAGGCATAGAGGGTGCCGGGCGTCGGAGGACGGTGGAGCCATCGGTCCAGCCGAGCGGGGTGCTGGCCGGTTGCTGCCTGGGGGTAGGGGGAGGTGTACGTGGGGACTGCGTCGGTCGCTGCAACGACGGTAGTAGATGAGATGGGACATTGTTGCTGTTGACCTGCGGTCTCGCAGAAGGAACCGGCGAGCGATCCGCATGAGTGCGTCCGCTCTCGCTAGTGACAGCCGTGTGCTCATCGACCACTTGCGTCCTTCCCTCCGCTGCCTGATGCTCCATTGCCTCGACATCTCCCATCTGTTCTTGCCTCAGCCGCGCTCTCTCCCGCTGCCCTCTCAGCGTCTTCTGCGACCGAGGCCGCTCCACAGGCCGACGGCGGGGCAGCCGGTGGCCCACCTTCAGACGCAGACGCGGTGACTCAGACGAGGAGCCGCAGAAGGTCTCCAGCTCCTGGAAGTAGACCGACTCGAACGACAGTTGTGACTCATCGTCTGCCTTCTTCAGCCTGGCGCGAGCAGGTACGTGGCGGTAGGGACGGGCGAGGCGGCGTGATGGTCGCTGTAGGTGAGGAGGGAGGAAGGATGGGCAGATCTCGGCATGCATGAGGTGCCATAGAAGGCAAAACGTTGCGAAGCTGAAGAGCCACATGACGCTGTAAGGGAGGCTGGTGGGACAGTCTCTATGGACTCTGCCTCTCTCCTGCATCATCCACACTTGCGAGCTTGGCTGCAAACCCCTCCACCCTATCAAACCCTGCGCTGCTCGACATAAGCATGAAGCGACTTAAGCGGCTGATTGTCGCGGCTGTGGCTGCCTCCGCCTCACTCGCGAGAGCAAGCGAAGATACAGTGGCGTTCACACACCGGGTGCCAAGACGATGCGTCAGAGAGCGGCGTGCACATGCCCATCCACGTGATCTCGATGATGCAGCAGTGGAGGTCGCCAGCCAGCCCCATCTCGTGACGGCGACAGACCATCACGTTCCTTATCCGCTTTTCAATGTCACCGGAGCTCCGCTGCTCATCGACGAGGGCAGCCATCACGCGGACCACGTCCTCGCCCCTCCCTCCCCCTCCCCCTCCCGCCCCTCCGCCGTGTCGTCCGCCCGCAGATTCAAGCAACGGCGAAAGACGGCCCTTCACGCCATGATTGACCGCATCCGTTCGTATGGACTTGCTGGTATGCTGTCGTATGGTGTGCTCAACGCTCTCTACTACACTGTGGCTGTGGCGCTGGCCTGGTGCTGCCGCATGACGTGTCCCTCTATGGCTGCCCCGTCGCTTCGCTGCGCCACTCAGCGGTTCGTGAAGGTGTTTGTGTTGGTGTGGGCGGGCAGTCAGGTGACCAAGGGGCTGCGGGCCGCCATGGCCGTCATGATCGCGCCGTTCGTGGACAAGGTGCTCGCGGCCACGCAGAGGAGGCTGCGGCTCAAGACGAGGGAGAGGGCGTTTGCCGTGTGCTGCATCATGCTGCTTGGGGGCACCTTTGGGGTGTTCGGTGTGCTGGTGCTGTCCTCATGCATGCCAGCGGTTTTGCTGACCACACCGGCAGCAGCCTTCATGCCGCCTCCAACGATCATGCAGCAGCAGCCCCAATGGTCACTGGCCCTCCCTCTTGCGTCGATGCTCTCTTATCATCTGACAAGGGTCTTCAACAACGGTCCCAGTGGACTGGAATACGGCAGCGATGGGGATACCGATGAGCAGGGCGGCCCCTGGGGGTGGAAAAGCGAGGGCGATGTGCTCAAGAAGAGGGGCAAGACCATCAGAGGACCCTTCAGCCCCTCAGCTGCACCACCACCGGAGGACAGAGAGCCGATGCAGCTACTGGCTGATCTGGTCAACACCCACGATGACAGCTCTGCTATCATCACACAAGCCGAGGAAGGGACGGTAGAGGAACTCGAGGCTGAGGACGAGCAGCCGGTTGGCAAGAAGGCCCCACCCACCCCACCCAAGTCGCCCGTGTCGGGGTGGAACATCCACCCCAAGTGGATGACAGGCCGCTGGCACATCCCCTCTGAATGCCTGTCGGTCGTCCCCCACTCCCTCTGGCTGCTCAGCCCCCCACAGCAGGCGGCTCTCATCACCGCTCTGGGGACGCTGCAGCACTCCCGCATTCAGCTGCTCCCGCGCGGCAACCTGACCGTCTCCCCGCCATCACCCTCTCTCCAGCCCCTCTCCTGGCGCTTCACGCCCGCCACACGCCGCCTTGTCGTGGAGCTCCAGATGAGTGACGACACGGGGTGGGTGCTGCGGTATAGCGGTCGGGTCAAGTGGGACAGGGGCGTGTTCATGCACTGTGACGGGAGCGGTGCCGTCCGCCTGAGGACTAAGGACGACAGCGATGGTGACATGCCTGTTGTTGCGCAGGGGCCGTTTGAGTATCTGATGCCGCGGGGCGAGCGGAGGCGCGAGAACAAGGGGCGGGGGAGGGTGCTGGCTGAGTGGCGAGAGGGCGCTGACAAGATAGCGCCATTTAGACCTGCCCTGGTGCTGCCGACTATCTGAGAGGGATGACAGAATGAGTGTAGTCTGACGAATGAAGTAAATACATGGGAACCTGGCGACGGCCAGCAGGCAGGGGCCTTTTTGCATGTCATGTAGAGAAGCGTCAGTCATAAGTCAGTGAGCCACTCACTCATCGGGTTATCGACTGGCTGGTGACGATTCATTTGTTTGTGTGATGGGCGTGGCGGACAGAGGGACGGCTCGGTCATTTTTGCAGACGTACAGGAAGCATTCGTTCATTCCAAACAGTGCAGTGGTGTGTACAATGAATGCAGTCCAAGTTCGTTCGGACACCGAAAGAAAGAGCCCTTGGTTGACATGACAGATCGATATGCACAAAGAATGTGGACGGACACTGAATGAATGCCGACTGTCTATCCTATCTTGCGTCGTGTGCGTGAGGGTAGAGCAGGCTGCGCCCCTGGTCCCTCTTGCCCTGCAGCTCCTGGAACTGCTTCTCCTGGTTCTGCAGCCAAACAGAACACACAGGCAGCCAGCCAGCCATGACGCACACATACATCCGAAAGGACGCCACGCCACGAGGGTGACACGGCGGTCGCTTACCTTGAGGTCGAGCTCTAGTGAGTTGATGTCATCGAGCACACCCCCACACGCCGTCTGGAGCGCCTTGATCGGCGTCGACGCATTCGTTGTCTGCACCTGCCATGCGTGTGTCAGTCACGGAAACGCCCAATGTGTGCCATGCTGTGATCCCTGTGATCCTCAGCCTCACCCTGACAAGCATTTTTGGCTCGAGTGGGTGTGGCACTTGATAGGCACCAAACTTGACCTCAGGGTCCTCCAACAGCTTCCTACAACACACACATCGGACGACGGACACCAGTGAGTGAGTGAATGATGCTCTCCCTGCTCACAGTGTGCCTGCAGACAGACAGACAGACACCGACACGTACGTACCATCTGAGCACGTTGCCGAGTGTGTGGTCCTCGAGGTAGATGGAGAAGGTGCCCAGGTTGTTCACCTTGGCCTCCTTAGCGTACTCTACCCTGCACCACGCGCACACACAACCACAATCACATGTTGCACGTCGGTTGTGCGGCATACTTGCTCGAGACGCCGGGCGGCAGTTCCAGCAGCTCGGCTGCATCTGGACGGTTGATAGCGGCGTTGTTCTGGTTCGCCATCACGACAGACGAACGCCTCACGCCAGAAGGCTGCGACAGAGATCAACGGAGATCAGCTCTTTTGACCGCTGGACAACCTCATCCCGCTCGATAGCTGCTTCTTGCTTCCTTCTTCTGCTTCGCAAAGGGCTCGCATACAGCTACACGGACAATCTTACCCTTAACCACCACCCGAGAGATCCCCGTCACCGCTTTCATCGCTCTCTCGGCCGCACTCACATCTCTATCAGATCGACAGGCGGCATCATCATGACGACGGACGGCCGTTTCTACCTGCTTGTCTCGCCAGACGGGCACATTGGCCCAGGACCTTGCGCCCAGAGGAGGTATCTACGGTCGTCGGACATCAGCAAGATCATCGCCTTCGACGACAACGACCAGTCGAAGCCCGACAGACCCATCGGCGTGCTGCAGGGGGCATCTGTGTTCTTCGAGAAGTGCATCAAGCTGCTGGAGAGGTGCTTATCAACTGAGAGAGGGAGAGAGGACGGCCATGTGATGTGCAGATCTGGCGTTTGTCCTGGGTGTGTGTGTGTGTTCATCAGCGAGTTTCGTGACGACTCGGTCCTGGCCCCATCGGGGGTGCGGTACAAGATCATTCAGCAAGGCAGCGGCGCCATGCCTACGGCCGAGCAGCAGGTCAAGTTCGACTACATCGAGTGGGGCGACGCCTGGGAGGGCGAGGTGTGTGCCGATGAGCCTGGCAGTACGTGCCGACCGGCAGAACTGCCCGGGTGGTTCGGGGAGGCGATCACGTCGATGCGAGTTGGAGAGGTGCGTCGATTGATGGTGCCGCCGGATGTCAGCCACGCCCCGGTCCCTCACACAAAGCTGGTGCAGCTCACGCTGCACGCCATCATGTGAACAGTCAACAACGGGACAGAGAGACACACACACAGAGAGAGAGAGAGAGAGAGTCACACACACACGTGTTACGAGCCTGCCTGGGGTTCGTCACGTCACATGTGATACGGCCGCAGTGGCTTGCCCAGCCCCCCGCCTCCCCGCCCGGCGGGGCAAGCCGCTGCGGCCTTACTATATGTGACGTGACTGACCCGACAGTCAGTCAGTCAGTCAGTGGATCAACCGATAAAGGGAGGGAGGGAGGGAGGGAGAGAGGGAGTTGCGGGCTTATGGTGGCGCAGCTCGTGTGAATATAGTGGCTGTCACGTCGGTCGACGATTCGTTGCTCTTTTTCCGCCTGCCGAGCGCAGGCAGGCCTGGCTGAGTGACGTACGTGCTGTCATTCCTAGGCTGGCTGGCTGGGCTGCATTATTTTTCCTCCATCCATTCCTCTATCTGAACGGTGAATGTCTCTCTTCCATGCGAGTGTCGGTTTGCTGCCGGGCGTCTTTCACTCTTGCCCCCATTCGGCTTCTGGTGATTTCCTTACATGGTGCGAGACACCCATTCACCGCCTGAGACTTACTTGTGTGTTTCTGTTGTATTTTTCGCTATGGCCAATGCACTCAATGCACCGTGGGCTGATGATATATGGTGTGTCTATACTTGTAGGTGTCTGGTCTGTCGCCTTGTGGTTGTATACAGTGTGGACGATGCGATGCCTGCCTGCTTGGTCTGCATGGCATGCATACGGATGCATCAAGGGACAGACAGACAGACCGACCGACCGACCGATTGCCTCAACAAAAGCAGCCCGCTGGTGTCTGTCGTGTCTCTGCTTCGGTTCAAGTGTCCCATGCGATGCGTCATGTCACAGCAGGCAGATGACGTAACGGGCAATGCATGATTCACCAAATCGCTTTTATGCACCATTACGTAAGCAACCCCAATTAGACGAGATGAGACGAGACTCACACACACACACACACACATACACATATATATATATCATGTTGGTGGCCGTACGGTAGGTACAGGGGCTGGGCTGGGCTGGGTTACCCACCCACCCACAGGCATACGGCAGAATGCTGGGTGGCACAGCACACGGCTACTCCTACAGAACTTACTTGCGAGACCAGAAAACTGACTGACTGACTGACAGACACCGATATGTAATGAATGCCATGCCCCACCCCACCCGACCCGATACATAGACACGCCACGCCCACACATGTCAGTCATGCACACAGATATAAATATCATACGCACGTACACACACACAGAGAGAGATGAACCTACAAAGGACGCGTACACACGTAAAATCACGCACACGCCGTGTAAGCACGCCCTCACTCGCTCACAGCACCGTCATGGACTTCCACGACTGCCCGTGCAGGCCACTCACCCACACGCCTCGGCCCCCGTCATCAGCACGGTGCGAATGTGTCTCTCCATTGCTGCTGGTGCCGACCACCGATCTGCCCGGAAGAAGGTAGAGTGAGCCGATCTCGTGACGCCACGCCCGGCTGAGGTCGGGGTAGTCACCGACACAGAAGATCTCCCCCGCGTCTTTGTCGTGTGCGAACGCGTAGACACACTTGTCGATGCCGAGCACTCGCGCCTCGTTCATTCGGTTGGCGAAGCGCAGAACAGCTTTGTCTTTGACCTCGTATCGGTCCACAAAGACGCCATTCCATGGCCTTCCTGTGGCGGGAGTGGACGCGTTGAGGGCCATGTGCATCATGTGATCGTAGTCGTTGAGAAGCTGGGCCACGTAAGACACCCCCAGAAATGAGAACTGCCCGAAGTGAGCCACATTGAGAAACACGTCCTCTTCTGTCCGGCCGTCCAGCGCCGTGGCGACCTGGGCTCTCTGCCGATCCCGCCGCTCCTGCACAGTGGGCATGACGAACACACCACCACCGTCACCCTCCTCAGAATACGTCCAGATCTCCCCATGGTTGCTGAAGGGCAAGTCGTTCCGGCTCGCCAGCGTCTCGTCGAACCCCGAATCTTCCGTCCATATGACGACAGCATGGCGGCCACTGCCGAGGACTTCTCGCACAGTGGTAGACCTGTCGATGGCTGATGGGTAGATGATGTTTGCAAGGGGGCTGGCCATGAGGGCGGTCGCCACCAGGTCGGTGTCGCTGGCACGCTCCACGTTGGACAGACGGATGAGCAGCAGGTCGCAGGGATGGGCATCTAGCCATTCGGCGATTGACGCGAATGTGTGGGCGGCTGTGCGGGTGCTGCGGCCGCTCTCGTGGCATGAAACGGCCTCCGTCGTACCGAAACTGCACACATACACACGGACACAGAGAATCGATGCAGGTGTCACAAGGGGTGTGTGTGTGTGTGTGTGTGTACCTGCAGAAGTCCAGGTCGAGGGCGCGGATGCCATCGTCCAGCTGTGTGATAAGGGACCTGTTCTGGCTCTCGTGGAAGCTCTCACAGCCACAGGTAAAGGCCAGGCACTCACAGCCACTCAAATCATACGACTCGCTGTTGTGCGTGCCTGCAAAACACATATGTGTGTGTCTCCGCACCCCTGATGTCTCCCCCTCTCTCTGTCCTGTAGTACTGACCTGGATAAGTCACGTCCAACACAGGGAGGTCGCACAAACCCCCCACACCGTTGCACGCGCGGCACTCCGACTCCTCTGCTATCGACATGGCACTGAGCGGCTCATCGAAGGCACCTGGCGCGTCGTCGCCTATCGGAGGGGCTTGCTCGGTCACTGAGAGAGAGAGAGAGAGACGGGGGGGGGGGAGAAAGAGAGAGAGAGAGTCAGTCCCGGTGATCGCCGGCAGGCCTGTGTCGCCACTGTGTGTACCTTTCCGCATGAATGCGATGGTGCCGTTGGCGGGAGCTATCATGCCGGGCTGCCAGTCATCTGGACTCCCTGCCATCGACAGGGCGCATTGGCCCTTGACGAAGCCGCCGTCCTCTTGGCCGATCTCGTCCTCGGCGGTGAAGTCCACACACCGACATGCCAGCTGCTCCACACACCTGCACAGCCACACGACAGATGCCACAATCATTACCGCCGCCACTGACGTGACGTGACATTCACCTGCCCCTCTCACTCACTTCAAGGCACACGTGTGAAGGCTCATGGTGCCCACATGCTCCCGCGTAGCGCCTTTGACGACACACACGCCGGATCTCCCCTCCTCGTATGAGCCCTGTAGCCCTGCCTCCATGCGCACCAAGGGAGCAGGAGCGGGTCTCGCGGCCGCCATAATGGTGGCCCTCTCCTCTCTCTCTGCCTGCTCCCTCTTCGCTGCCTCCGCCGTGCCAACTCGGATATAAGCCCTGTAGCCTCTCACAGACGGGCTCTTGACGGCATTGCTGTTCTTGGCGCCCAGACGGCATGACGGCTCGCCCATGCTGCCATCCTTGTGGAAGTCGAAGCATTCGCAGCCCTCCTGGTCGATGCACGCCGAGGCGCACTCGGCGAGCGTCTCTGTGCTGTGCTTGTGGGCGTGGGAGGCGCAATAGGAAGACGTGATGGTCAGCTTCTTGAGCCAGCTGTTCTGCACTCGATAGGCGTCGAAGTACAGCAGAGGGGACACTCTGGCCGCAGACAAGCTGGTGCTGGCGGCAGTGGTGGTGGCCGGCGTGGCATTTGGACGCAGCACTGACACAAGACAGACCAGCATCAAGTCACCACTGTGTGCCCTTCTCTCTCCCTCCCTCCCTCCTACCTCGTTTGTCGTCATCTGTTTCGAGAAACCCCTGGTCGGCAGAGTCCCGCACCATGGCCATCACGCCAACGAAGGCCCCGTCCCCATTGCCGCCAGATGACGCATCATTGCCATCAGCCGCAACCGAGAAGAAGTTGGTGGTCGCCCCGGCATCAGATGCTTTGCTGAGCCGGACGATTCTCTTCTCGCCGGGTGCGCCAAGCTGGCAGGTGGGCGGCTGCTCTGCCGCCACTGTCAGGTCGAAGCACAGACAGTCACTCAGAGATGCACACCTGCACCGACCAACACACACACACACAAACCACATAGCCCATAACCACACACGGCCAGATGTTCAAACGGGAGGCGGTGTGACGGTTTGCGTGTTGTGGTTGCTCACGCTTGAGCACAGCTCTCGACGGTGACATTGGCGATGTGCCGGTCATCTCCATCGCTGGCCCTGTGGCTGGCACACTCGACGCCGTCGAACATGTGGTTGTATTTCCTGACGGCGCTGTGGCTCGGCAGGCCAGACAGCGCAGCCACTGGCGAACTCCCAGGCTTGGTAGCAGAGGTGGCAGAGGCCAGGCAGCATCGCGACAGTGCCAGCGCGCACAGCAGCAGGGAGGGCAACAGAGATGCCATGGGAGTGTTGCTGAGCCGCCTCCTCTGGGGTCTTGGTTATTGCGGGGATCCCCCCTTTCTTCCGGAGACCTTTCTTTCTTCACTCTTCGAGCAGCGGTTTCACGCAGCACCCTACGAGGCGAGCAAACAGTGACAACAACATCAGGAATGGCTTTGGGGTCCCACCTGTCCATGGAGGTCATCTTGCGCAAGAAAGACGGATTCGTCGCCTTGAAGGAGTTTGAGGACGACCGTCGGGCGCGGGTGGATGCCTTCCGCTCACTCATGGCGCCGCTCAACAAACGGGCATTCGCTATGCTCGATGATGCCAAGGGTGAGCCAAAACCACCGGCAAAACCAGATCTTTCAGAGTCTCACCATCAGCACCATGTGTGGTTGTGTGCTCAGCGATGGTGAGTGGCGTGGCCACGGCGCTGACCCAGCGGCTGCAGATGGACAAGGCGTACATCGACAGCCTTCGGAGGTCCGTCCCGCATCGGTCCCTGAGCATGGAGTCGACAAGAGGCGGCAGACGGCAGCAGACCCACCCGACACAAACATCGCCGCCCAGCCGGCAGAGCAGCAGCGCCAGCAGCACTGGGGGCGAGGGCGGCAGCGGGGGAGGGAAGATCGACTGCTCGGGCGCCAACACCGTCAAGGAGGCGCTGCGTGAGCTGAATCGGCAGCAGGCTCTGCAGATGGAAGACTTCGTCAAGGTCGCCTCAGAGGACCTCATACAGGGTGGGTGGGTGAGCGAGAGCCTCGTGTGCGTAAATAAAGGGAGAGAAGGCATCTGCGTGTTGCGTTGCATCACACGTGTGTGTGTTCTTGCGTTGTGTCAGGTGGTCTCCAGCGTGCTGCGGTAGAGTATGCCCGTGTGTCCAAGCAGCACACGGACCGAGTGGCTGCCGCATGGAGCCTCCTCGAAACCACAGAAAAAGACTGCAGGCAAGCCCCAGACACAAACACACACACACACGCACACACACGCCCACTTGTTGCGATCGTGTGTGATGGATGCGATGCAGGCAAAAATGGGATGAGTATGAGCGTCTGTTTCGCGCGGTAGAGTCAACCCAGGTCATGAGCCTCCACCCACCGCATGACGACGACCACGGCAGCAGCAGCCAGGGCGGCCGGGAAGGAGGAGGGGGTGCGAGGGACTGTTGGCTGCTGGAGCGGTTCTACACCAATGCCGCCACACAATCGAGAGTGGCGCAGGACGCCTACCTCAAGGCCTTCCAACAGTTCCTTGCCGACTTTGAGCAGCTGGAGCAGGTCAGGTGTGGCGAATGGGCGCGCAGACGGTGCGAAATACATTACCGTGTGTGTGTGTGTGTGTGTGGTGCAGTGGCGGTGTCAGACGGTCCGCCACACGGTGAATCAGTTCCTGCAGAAGCTCAAAGTCACGACCACCCACGTGTCGTCGTCCATCGACGCCTCGCTCACACTGATGCAGGCACTAGACCCTGCAAAAGTGTCAGTGGCCAAGATGATGCACTCCGAAGACCCCTTCGCAAGGTACGTACGTACAGCACCCACCACCACAGATCCACAGATCGGCTTCCTTGCTCATCTGTCCGCTGTTCCTCTTTTCTACCGGGCAGCCCCGCTCCTCCCCACAACCCAGCAGAGGCCGACGCGGGTCAGTCGGCCCAGCAGCGGTCTGCACGGCGAGGGTCGGCGTCCAGGAGGCCCCCACTGCCACCCCAGCAGCAGCAGCAGATGCAGCAGACAAGGGTAGAGGACGAGACCAGTGTGGCCCTGTCGGCCTTTCTCAGTCAGGCGGAGGAGCTGACGAAACTCCCAAACCCGCCACAGACGTCCCTCGTCAAGAAAGCGGGTGAGAAAGGGTGTTTGTGTTTGTGGTGTGTGTGGGTCGGTGATGCATTGAGCCAGTTCGTCCCGGGATGAGATCATTGGTTTTGTGTGCCTTTGACGTAGGCATCGTCAAGCGGCCGACGAGTGGTCTGTTCCAGCGTCAGAAGGACGGTGTGCTGGTGCTGACGTATGACCGTTTCCTCCACCTGTTCAAGAGCGAGGCCGACCCTCTCCCAGCCACCTCCGTCTCTCTCGACCTCTCCACCGTGTCTGTCGTCCAAGACCACAACCAGCCGTCCCCTCCCCCTGCCCCTCCGTCTGCCTCTGCCAGCAGTGGCAGTGCCACGCCCACCGCCATCCCCACGATAGAGGTGCAGGAGACCAAACGCGTCGGCCCCTTCCGGATGTTCAGCTCCAACAAGCGGCTGGTGTTCACCCCACTCACGGCCGGCGAGGCCTCATCGTGGCTGGAGATCCTCAAGGGCGGCAGTGCTGCTGCTGGTCGTAGTGCTACCGCCCAGCGGCCACCCCCGCCCGCTTTGCCGCTGGGCACGCCCCCACCTGCTGGCAGCGAGCAGGACGGCGATGGCGCGACGAAGGTGGAGCCCTCGCTGGGCGACCACGGGTCGTTCCCCTCCACCCCCAGCCCATTTGACACCTCGCAGGAAGGACCCCTCCTGCCAGAGAAGGAGGAGGGGACCCTCAGTGCTGCAGGGCAAGACACCCTTACCAACGGAGGAGAGGCGGGGGCTGCGACAAACGACACACATCATGAAGAAGAGGGCGGCCAGGAGAGGGCGGCGATGGTGTTTGACGACCCGCCAAGGCCCCCACCCCCACCCGCGGTGCCAGTGGATCTGAGCAGCACAGTGGAGAGGCGGCAGATGGACAACGGCGGGCCATCGCTGGACGACGGCACTGGAGATGCAGAAGGTGGGCGGGTGAATGGGTAGTGCGCACAGTACAGGCAGACAGACAGACAGGGAGATAGACAGGTAGGCTGCATGGCCTGGCTGCAGAGTGCCGTGCCGTGCCGTGTCGTGAGCTGACTGGCCATCCGCTCTCCCTCTCCCTCACGTCTGTCTGTCTGCCTGTGTTATGAATGCCGTGGTGGTCTGCATCACCCATTATTCATTCAGGCAGCAAGAGAGGCCACAACCCCCCGCCCCCATCAGCAAGCCAGCCGTCCACCCGCGCAGCCACCACCATGGCTGAGGATAGTCATGGCAGCGAGTCACCCCCCTGTCTGCCTCCTGCCTTCATCGCAGACCCCTTTCCCTTTGTCGTGCCCCCCGCCCCTGGTGTGGGTGTGGGTGTGTGTTGCCCTGCAGATATCGGAGGCGACTTTGGGACGGGCAGGGCTCAGGAGGCTATGTCACCGCTGCCTTCGATCGAAGACGGCGAGAGCGTAGGTGGATAGGGGGGAGGGAGGGTGGTTGATAAAGCGGATGGGCCTCTTGGTTCGTGTGTTGCTTAGCGTCTCGACTGCTTAGATGTCTGCGTGGTAGTGATACGGACAAAGCGTTTTTTGGGTGTGGACCCGTTTATTGTCATCAAGTCTCAGCATTGTGCCGAGATCCACCGCGAAAAACCCCATTGTCAATGCCCTTCACTTCGTCTAAGGCCCCCTGCTGCCCTAACGTGATGTGGGTGTACCATATCGTACCCACTTCGTCTAAGGCCCCCTGCTGCCCTAACGTGTCGTACCCACTTCGTCTAACGCCCCCTGCTGCCCTAACGTGATGAGGGTGTATCATATCGTACCCTCTATATTCATCAACGAGTTTCGTTTCGTGCAGAACGTCACGTCACACAAGTACGCCACTGTTTCACATCACAGCATACACACGTGAGTCGAGTGAGCCCTTTCGTTACAACGTTCAGTACTCCCTTACATGAAAGCCACCCATCCAGGCAGGCAGGCGACACACAGTGAGGGCAGCGATTACGTCGATTGCGTCGTGTTACATACAGACAGACATATGAAACGCTGTAATGTAGATATGTCTGTTACTGCGTTTCATGTCTGTCTCTTCTTGACACGACGTAATCGACGTTACTGCTGCAACAAACAGACCTTGAGAGTGATCCACTGCACATTAACGTCACCGTGCTGGCTCACAAGACACCAGTGTCAATGTCAATGTCATTGTCACTGTCATTGTCAAGCCATTGTCTCACATCGCAATGCAGACTCAGACCGTTGCACATACACATGCGTCAAGGTGTCAGTCCGAGAGTCAGCCCTTTCTAGGCCAGTGATCAGGAAAACTCCCAGTGAAGCCGGCAAAGTCAAACCCTCGGGCCCGGTGGTTGAAGCTCTCCACCCACCGAAACAGCGCCCCGTCAGTGTAGAACCGCCTCGTGTAGTCAAGCACCCGTTTCGCCTGCAGCCGGTCGATGTCAGCCGCCAGGATGTCGACCCGCAGGAGTGCCAGCTGCTTGGAGGCCAGGAGGTCATCAAACACGGTGACGATCAAATGGGGCGAGGCAGCCTGGGCATCACGCTGAAACTCCTCTGAGCCATAAAGGAACACAGACACAGAGAAAAGGAGACAGAGAGATGGGGAGGGCCGGCATCGGCATGTCTGAGCGCCTGTGTGGGGGGATGGTCGAAGGCGCTCACCGAGTGATGTGTAAAGGATGTGCTTCTTGTCCTGGAACTGCAGCACAAGTGTCCTGAATCCCTGCGTGCCCTGCAGCTGCACCTTGGCCGCCTCGATGCCGTTGCCCTTCATGTCGTGGTGAGGGGACTTGGTCAGCGGCGCGATGAACATGGGAGCATGGGACGCACTGAGCACATTAATCACACACCACACACATAGCCATCGGACAGCCACAGAGAAAGCGCCATGAATACATCCGGCTGACCCATCCATCCATCCATTCTGCCTACTTCTTGGTCAGTGTGTCGTACTCGTCCGGCTGCAGCACATCGGTGAGCACCCGTGGCTTGTCCTTGAACTGCTCCAGCCACAGGTACTCAATCGTCGAGGGCGTCTCCCGCTCGAACAACGACATCTTGACCACCTCACGCAGCTGCCGCGGGACGGGATAAGTGAAGCCAAACCGACGGCACTGCTGATATCGATAGTGATGCCGACGATGACCGACGATGGGAGGGCAGGGAGGGCACTGAGTGGGGGAGGCGGGGAGAAGGGATCGATGCAGATGTCGGGCGCTCGTCATGAGAGGTGGCCTCTGGGGCTTGGCTGAGGGGGAGCGGGGATCTGCGCGAGCTGAAAGCTGCGAGCTTAGCGGGGAGAAGGGAGGAAAGCTCCGGGGCAGAGCGCACGTCAGCAGCTTGCGACCGCCTTTCTGGATGATCTTTCATTGGATATCTTGGCATCACTCATCCGGCACAGGATGATGCCCATCCCACCCGCAGTGATAGCTATGGCGGTCCTGGTCCTGCTTCTCTCGGCCGACGCCTTCCTTGCCCCAAGCAGGAGCCCTGCCACCCAGCCCAACAGCCCCTGTTTGTTCCCTCTCCCTCGCCACCAGCGCTTCTACCCATCCCGGCTCTTCAGCACGGATACCATGGCCTTGACGGACACTCTTCGGGAGCTCATCACGGCGCCGAAAGACAGAGAGGAGGTGCTGGATGTGTGCAGCCAGCTGGCGGCCACACAGGGGCCTGACAGTGGGGTGCAGGTGCAGGTGGAGCCGCTTCTCCAGGGGGACTGGCGGGTCTTGTACAGCACTTTGGGGCAGCCGAAAAAGAAAAAGGGCGGCTCAGCTGAGGAGCCAGCACCAGCACCAAGACTCCCGCCGGCAGTGCCGCTGCGCTTTCTCTCATTCGGCGCTTTGCCAGGCAAGCTAAGCTGACAGGAGGAGAAATAATATTCACTCTTGCATGAGTATGCGTGTGTGTTCCGTGTGTGACTGGTCTGTCTGTCTGTCTGCAGGGACGAAGGTGTGCGTGACGCGGGGCTTCAATCGCATCTCTGACGGGGTATACAGTCTGGTCAACGTGTTCAAGGTGCCGCCAGAGGACGGCGAGAAGCTCTATGCTCAGCACCTGCCCGAGGGCACGCCGCCACCGCCGGAGAGCACCGAGGCGGCCATGGTTCTGTTTGGGCCGTGCTCCTTCCCTGACGGTAGGTGTGGATGTCTGTCTGTCTGTGTATCAGTTCACCGGAAGGACGCACTCATGTGGAGGCGCACGTGGATGGAGGGAGGGAGGGAGGGATGGAGGGATGTGTGTGACGTGTGTGTGTTCAGGTCCGACCACCCAGCGGTGTCAGGTCAAGTTCGACAACGTCCAGGTACACGCTAGCACACTGGGCGAGCTCAGGCAGGCAATCGTGGATACGGCCTTCGTGTGTGTGTGTGTGTGCGTCTCGTCAGGTGGTGCCTCTGCTGTCGTCTGATGGTTTGGTCGACGCCGAGAGCGACAAGATCGTCCGGGCGATAGAGAGCAAAGCCGGCCGAGGCGGCACAATAATGCCCAAGAGACTCCCATTCCTAATCAGAGCTCTCAGGGTGAGGAGGCCGGTCCTCACCCACCACACAAGGACACAACAGCCACACACGCTACGCTGCCGGCACGCAATGGTGTGATGTGTGTGTCAACCAATAATCACTCCCTCACTCAGGCCGACAAGACCTTTATCGACATCACATATATCGACCGTGAGCTGCGTGTGCACGTCGGCAAGAGCGGCCAGAGCTACGTACTCGAGAAGATACCCGATGGGACCATACCCTTCAGATGGGGCGGGTGGACCGACTGACTGATCCATGTGGGAGGCACTGTGGCACTGTGGCAGGCAGTTTCTGAGGCCGTCCGTGTTGTTAAGAGAGGGAGAAGGAGGACTGTGTCTTGCTCGCACGATGTGGAGTGGACAGGGAGGGGCATTTAGGTGAGACTGACTGTTCCGTCTGGGTGTCCGCCAAGTTGGTGCATGCCTTGACTGCCGCTACGGGAGACGGCTCAGCGCGGGAACTCTCGTGGTGAAGCTGCCTCATGGTGTGGTAGTTTAGGCACGAGCCAAAGCGACACAGACAGACTTCGTCTGCAGTGATATCATTTAAGTGGCGTGGTGTTCTGTGGTGTGGGAGTGAGGGAAGCACACAAGGATTCACGAAGGGAGAAGCGGAGTCTCCCATGCACACGCGCACACGCACACAGGAGGTCTAAGCAGGCAGGGAGGCACGGAGGGCAGGGAGGCAGACAACACTAGGCATGCAGCCATCCACCATGTCATGAAGTGCGGGGCTCGGGGGGAAGGAGGAAGGCTATCGGGGTCATCAGCAGTGCTGCCGATGATTGACATGGTACCAATGATATACACACAAGAGGAGGGCCCTTCCTGATCGTCCGCACCGCAACACCACCATCACACCAGCACACTAGCACTCTCTCTCTCTCTCTCTCTCTGCCCATCCAAAAAGCATCGCGTCCGTCCGCCACGACACACCGCAAAAAATACCGCACACACAGACGGACGGACTACTGGATGGAGGGAGGGAGGGAGGGCTGGATCAGCGGATGGACGCAGCACAGCCCCCAACAATGGCGACCGTTGGTTCTGTCTACTCGTCCCTGCCGCCCGAGGTATACACACACATTCGCCTCTCTGACGACCGACACCCACCCGCCCGCCACACACATCACTGTATCACTCTTGAGGATTGGCAGCGTCCATGGCGAGGCGGATAGGGTCGTACTGGTGCAGCAGGCCGGGCACCTCCATCAGCCGCTGCTGCTCGATCTGCCGGCTCCGCTGCAGAGCCTCGTCGCGCTCGGTGCGGTACAGCTCCGTCAGGCCCTCCGCGTCACCACCGGCATACTCCTGCACTCAAACACACACACAAACACCACCTCAGTGGGGTGGTGGGTGTGGGTGTGGGTACCTACCTTGATTTGGACGAGGAAGTCTCTTATGTGGGATTGGAACTCGGTGTGGTTGCCGCTCTTGTTGAAGAGGTCCAGCACGAAGGCCTCCACCTGGTTCCTGCAGCCAGGGAGATGGGATGGATGGATGGAGGGAGGGAGGATGGGTGTGTGTGTGACCGGTTTACCTACCTGTTGAGTGTGGCGAACGTCTGGCAGAGCATGTTGCAGATGTACTCCCTGGGGGCACAGACAGAGTGTGGTGTGGTGGTTGTGGGTGTGAGTCTGTCTGTCTGTCTGTCTGGCTGCTTACATGACTTCCTGTTTGGACGTGACGCCGCGCAGCTTGCCCAAATCAACTGCCGTCACCAGCTGCACACACACACACACACACACAGACAGGGAGACACAGAGAGAGAGAGAGACGATGGCCTCTGTGTGTGTGTGCCGATGTCCGCAGTCCGTCCGCACCTCCATCAGGATGATGGTTTGGTGTTTGAATCCCGCCTTGTGCAGTGTGTCGGTGAGGACCACAAAGATGTCGTGCAGCAACAGCTGGTAGTAGCTCTTAAAGAAATTGCCGCACAACTGCAGTCCACACAAGACAAGCCACACACACCAACCACACACACACAACACACAACCGGACAGACAAATGCATTTGATTCCATCATCGAACAAACAGCACGGGAAGGTTGATCTCTGACACACAGACCTGTGGGTCAAGGTGGAGCACCTTGTCGAGGAAGTCGCTCAGCACCCGGAGCCCCGCGTCGGCCACCGAGGGGTGCTCATGCTTGATGGCCCACACCAGGGAGTCGACAAACAGACGCAGACGCTGCTCCGGCAGCAAAAATAAGGCTGCATTGCATCCACACGTTGGCCACACACACAGCACACACACAGCCGTCTGTCGCGTGAGGGAGCGGCGTGTGTGCACCGTACCGTCGAAGCAGTAAGTGTTGCAGGCGCGCAGGAGTGCGTAGAAGTTGACGCGGTGGTCGGGGTAGCTTTGGAAGTCAGATTTGATCATCTCCAGGGTGGGGTCAAACACCATCTCAAAGATACGGGGCACTTGCTGCAATTTTCACACCACACGAAGACAGGACAGGCACACAACACACAAACCATGCCAGCCAGCGCCAAGCAAACACAATGCATTCAGCCGAGTCGTGTGACGTACGTACCGGTGTGATTGATGGGGACAGCTTCGATATGAGCGTCGACAGCAGCGACAGCACCTCAGGGTCACGCGCCTGCGGATGGTTGGCCCTATAGTGCACCACACGCCACAGCACAGCACACACACAGAGAGATACATGCACCAACGCCCACACGCCCACCCCATCACCCCATCACCCCATCATCACACCCCACCTACCTGTAGTCAGCGAGCACCGGTTCGAGCAGCGGCGGCACGAGTCCGCTGCACACCCTCTGTATCAGCTCCGACCGCCGGCTGCTCTGCGTCTCACGGCCACCCCCAGGGATGCCATTCGTCTCGGGGATCTCGCCCGTCGCCCCGGCTGCAGGCTGGTGCTGACTGCCGGGGGGCCCGTGGGGGTCAGGGGGGATCGCCTGGTGATTGACAGACACACGCCATTAATGGGTGGGACAGAGAGAGGGGGTGGGTGTTTGGAGGGTGGGGGCGAAGGAAGGGTCGTGTGTTACCTTCTCGACGAATGTTTCGACGAGTTTGAGTGTGTCCCTTTTGAAGGTGCGCATGCCTTTGATCTGGGAGTGGCCCATGATCTGCGGACCGTTGCTCGCGACCTTGGACGAGATGCCCTCACTGCATCACATCAATGCATCCATTCACTCACTCATGGCACAGACCTGTGTGTGCGCAGTGTCTGCAGGCATCTATCTATCTGTGTGTGTGACAGATGGTTGCCTGTAGTATTTGTAGACCCGCAGGACCTGCTGGTAAATGCTGCCCAGCTGGTGCTCCATCGCACTGCCAGCAGAACTGATCAACGCCACCCACATCAGCCACAGAATTATCGATCCCTCTGCAGTCGTGCTGTGCTGTGCGGTGTGTAGTGTGTGGTCAGCAGCTGACCTCGCGACCCGTTCGTTCGTCCTGAGAAAGTGGGAGAGCTGCCGCATTGCGTTGAGGTCGACCAGTATGCCCTCGTTCTGCACACACACGGCACAATCAATGCCCACACATCACATGGACGGTCCACGTAGGCACATCCTCCACACATACCTGTGAGGCCGCTTGGAGTAGGTGGTTCCACTGGGCGTTGAGGTGGGACATCAACCCTGCCACGCACACACACACACACACACACAGACACTGCGCCAGCATGCCTTCCTGCCTCCCGCCGTTCACCGCACCATCGACGTATTGGTATTGCTCCTGCTGTGTGGGCGCCTCAGCGATCATGTACCCCACGGCCTCGTAGAAGGTCTGCTGGTCGCCGAACTCCAAGTCGGCCGTGTGGCCCTGCAGCTGACCATTCGGCCCTGCACACCAAGCCACACACACACACACGTGTGCAGTGTTCGTGTGTCTGTTTGGGTCTTTGGTTACGTGTGAGTTCGGCGAGGAAGCACTCGGCCTCTGCCGGCTGCACCTGGACGAACTTCTTGCGACACTTCTGAGATATCTTCAGAAACGTCTCACAAGCCATTTTCTGACGAACACATACACAGAGAGAGAGTGAGAGAGGGTATGTGTGTGTGTGTGTGTGTGGATGGGTCGGTGGACACCTGACCTGCACGCCGGGGAACGTCTCGTGCATGAACTCAAAGAGCTTGAGCAGCACCGTCTTGAGGAACTTCCAGTGCGCACGCAGAAACCTACACCAACCACGCGCGCGCACACACACACACACACAGAAGAGAGATAGAGAGTGGGTGTGTAAACCAGTGTGTGTGTGGGTGTGTGTCAGGACTTACCTTGGGTATTGCCCGACCACATACATGATGCAGCTGGCCACAATCTGCACACGCACAACACGGACAGAGAGAGAAAGAGAGAGAGAGAGAGAGAGAGTGGCAGGCCGTTCGTGTCTGTCTGTCTGTCTGTCTGTCTGTCAGCTTGACTGGCTCGCTCCTCCCCCCCGCCGACCGACCGCTTTGTTCTCCTTGCCCCTCTTCATCTCACAGAGGCTCAGCAGATCCTACACACACCACACACACCGACCGAGTGTCCTCCCTGCAGCTGAGGTGACATTCGTCAGACACAGCCACACCGGTGGGTGCGCACCTTGATGATGGTGACGACGAATCGCTTCTCGTTGGCCTCGTCCATGGCGCCGCTGATGGACCCCATGGCCCAGCAGAGGCAGTTGAGGCGGGCGGGGTTCCACGGCTGCTGGGGGGAGGGCATCATGCCGTTGGTCGTGTCGCTCAGGCACTGTAAGGGACAGACAGACGCACAGACAGACATAGAGGACACCATGTGTGTGTGTGTGTGCAGAGAGAGGGAGGGAGGGGTGAGGGGTGTGGGGAGGGGGGACTTCACCTCTTGTGTGAGCAGTTCCAGCATGATGTGTTCCATGTTGGATTGGTCGAGGTGTGTGAGGTACACCATCACCTCGCGCATCTTGTGGTATAGCTCAACCTCAGCTGACCAACCAGCCAACCAACCAAGGAGCGATCCACACACAGACAGCGAGAGAGAGAGAGACACTGCCTGCCTGCCTGCCTGCCTATCTGGGTGCCTCTGTGTCTGCGGGTTCACCGGTGTCGACTTGGAGTTCCCTCGAGACCTCGCCCGTCTCCTCGTCGATCACTATCAACACCTACCACACACACAATCACACACACGTGCCTGCCTGCCTGCCTGCCGGTTTCCCCCTCTCTCTGCGTGTGTGTCAGCTGGTCGACGGGCGCACCTCCGGCGGCTTGGCCATTTTGAGCATGAGCACCCTCCTGACGTCGCTCATGACGCCGTTATAGATCGGTGTGTAGGGGTTCAGGATGCTCAGGTCAAACGGACTGCCGCCGCCACACGACGGGCCGCCCGGACCGAGGTGGGTGGGGCTGGAGTGGGGCGCAGCCAGAGTGCTGTTGCCTGATATCCATCCATCCATCCATCCACCGTGACACACCACATGAGGCGGGGGCGGGGGGATGTGGGTGCACTGACTGACCGTCGGAAGAGGTGTCCATGCCGGTGGCCTGCATGGCGTCTTGGGGTGCGGTGCCGTTCATGGCGCCGCCGTCCAGCAACAGGGGAGGGGGCAGCCCGTTTGAGCCGTTCGTGGTGCTCTCGGGCGGCCTCTGGGGCGGGGCGGGGCACACACCACAACCAACAAGATGACCATGTGTGTGGTGTGTGGTGTGGTGTGGTGTGGTGTGTGGTGCACTGTACCATGTTCTCGTATAGTCGTTGCGCGAGATAGTGCCAAAAGTCGATGCATGTCTTGAAGGTCGAGTCGTTGGAACACGCCTGCGTTATGCTCACCTGTGCGACGGACGCACACACAGAGGATTCAGCGATCGATCAACGCAACGAATCCATCGGCGTCTTGCTTTGCTGCATACTGACCAGTGTGCCGAGAGCGGTGCTGAGCTGCGACTGCATGACGATGTGCTGCGGTAGCTGGCCCGCCGCCTCTATCGCTTGGAGGTGGTAGCGCAGAAAGGCTAAGTGATCAGATGGATGGCACACGCACACACACACACACACAGAGAGAGAGAGAGAGAGAGAAAGTGTGAGGGTTGGGGACGCCATTGTCTTTGTGTGTGTGGGTGCGTCGCGTGTGGAGTGCATCCATCCATCATACCTACCGGCGATAGCTATGGCCAGCTGGTTGAAGAAGTTCTCCCAGTATATTCTGATGGACCATTTTGATGGTGCAGCAAACGACGCGTGTGGTCACACTGAGGCGTGTGTCAGTCGGTGTCAGAGCTTAAGACACACAACTGACTGACCTGTGTTGTGGCGGCGCTTTGGTCTCGTACTCGATGGACTCTGGCGGCAAGGCAGACACCTTCTCAATCAGCCGGGAGAACAGGTACACTGAACAGACACACAACGAACGGCAGCCGCCTCTCTCCCCCTCTCTCTCTCTGTGTGTGTGTGTGTGTGTGTACGTAGTTTGTCGACGTATCTGTCAATTCCCTCGTGCAGTGCAGCGATCTCCCCGAGGCACTTGACGCACTCTATCCTGAACTCGGGCGGGTCCCAAAACTGGTCGATCAGGATGCCGATCAAGTTCGTCTGACAAACACACACACACACACACACACAGGGGTGCTGGCTGGTTCATGTGTGTGTGTCTGTGTGGCGGACGACTGAGATGTATACCTCGAACACGAAGCCGAGTGGGATCCACGCGAGAAAGTGCTGGATGCAGCTCAGCGTCACCCTACACACACACACACACAGAGGGGTCAAATGGTGCGTGTGTGTGGGTGGGTGGGTGTGCGTGGCTGTGAGGGTGTGTGGTGTGTGTGTGTGTGTGTGGTGCATTCACTCATTACTTGATGAGCGACGGTTTGACGGCGCCCCGCTGCTGCATCCACGAGTCGAAGATGAAGGAGCACAGCTCGTAGATCACCCTGAACTGCTCGTTCATGGCGTCCTTGAGCTGCTCGATCTTCTTGGACGTCATCTGCTCACTCCCGAACTCAAACACCTCCTCGCTGTTGGCCAAACACACCATCATCATCATCAAATGTGTGTCTGTCGGTGTGCTGGAGGGGGTGGGGTGTTTACCTCAGGAGGTTGAGTATCTTCATGTTGTTCTCGCAGAGCGACTGGTTGGTCCGGGAGGCGCCGCAGATGTCAGGAATGAACGACTCCCAGTTCTGAGGCCACTCCTTCTTCACTATCTGCCAACACACACCAACCACACACACACACACATCGACCCCAATCACACCACAGACAGACAGAATGTCACCTGAATGAGGGTCTCATTGAGTTTGGTGAGGAAGTGTTTCTCTCCAGCCTGGAGGCTCTCGTCGCTGCTGATCTTGATGGTGAGGTTGACGACGTAGGTCTTCATGCCCTCCTTCTGGTCCTTGGGCAGCACCTTCCACCTCGTGGCGATGCAGTTCTCGAGGATCGAGAGGGCGAAGAACTTGGTGTTGGGGTTGCTGCTGTTGCCCAGGATGGTGTCCACGTGGGTCCAGCTCTCGGGGTGGCCCTTCAGCTCGTTCAGCACCTGGTGCGCTATCGACCGCTGTAATGGGGACAAACCAAACACACACACATGCACACAAAGCAGTGGATCTGTGTGTGTGTGTGTGTGTGTGTGTGTGTATCTGTGTGTGCTTGACGTGACGTACGTCTTTCTCATTGCCACTATACATGATAGTGACAACATGGTCGAGCAGCTTGACCCGCTCAGCGTTCCACTCGCCCGGCAGCAGCAGCGCCTGTGGCTCCATCATTGACACCAGCACACCCAACACACACACACGCCACTGCCAGCCGCCCCTCTCGCCCACTCAACACCGCAGACACGACGCCACACCAAATGAGAGGAATCGGCACCGCGCCTCGAGACGTCACACACGGCCGATCTGCTGCCGATTGCGCCAGATGAGTGAGGTGAGGGGCTCTGCAGCCGCTGTTGTCCGCTGTCCACTGCTGACAGTCACTCGTCTGCCAGTGATGTCACACTCACTGCGCCATGCCGCTTATCGGCCGCTCGCTCCAGATCTCAACTTGCCACAAGCAGCACTCCTGAACGCATGTGTCCCTTCTCTCCCCATCTTGCCAGCTCGCTTTTTTGCTGGCGGTGGTTCCCCGGGGAAAAGAGAGCAGCGGCAGCGGCCGTATCCATATTTTGTTGGGTATTTGCTTTGATGTCAACGAAATCATCGTTGTCTGGCGGCAGCGGCGTGTGGACGTCTGTGTCTGCGCACAGCATCGCCGAGGGGCTCATTGCCGACCATGAGAGGGCAAAGGAGGAGAAAAGGAGAGTGGCGGAAAAGGCCAAAGCAACCGCCAACCAGGCCAGGGTGTGCACGATCTCACCAACTTCACATCCACACACACCTCACCTCTGTCTATGGCCATCTATCCAAATTTGTATCAGGATGTGTTGTCGGATCCTTCTCTGTCAGCCTCGCCGGCCGACCCTTTGCGCCAGGTGACCGACATCAACTACCAGAAGTTCGACCGCATGGCCAAGTCCCTCACCGACGCCGAGAAGGCCGAGGAGGAGGCAAAGCAGATGAAGGCCATGGCGCAACGGCAGATGCTCTCCTGCTCCCACGACCACTCCAAGGAGCGGCAGATCTATGAGAAGCCGACAGAGGAGAAGATCAAGGCTGCAGAGAGGTGAGGGCGTCCATCGTTGAGTGCACTCAGGTGGTACCTAGGTGTGAAATGAGTGTTTGTGGCTGTGTGTGTGTGTGTTGGCGAGTAGGTTTCGCGAGGAGGGCAACATTGCCTTCCGCAACCGCAACTATGGCCTCGCTGCCACCCACTACCGAAGAGTCAGTCGATTCCTGCGCCCAACACACACACACACACTTACACACACACACCCACACACACACCTCTCTCTTTTCTTGGTTGCAGGCGCTGGTTCAGTTCGACTACACGTTCCCCGAGACGGAGGAGGACAAGAAGTGGATGGAGTCGGTGCAGCTGGCCTGCCACCTCAACTTCGCCGCTACCAAGCTGCACATGCGGGAGTTCGACGACGTCAGGACACACACGCGTCTCGCACTCGACATCGACCCAAACAACGTCAAGGCCTTCTTCAGAAGGTAGGTGCAACGAACAACACATGGAAGCAGGTGCCTGCAGCCTCTGTAGGCGTGTCTGTCGTGTTGGTTGTGTCTGTGTTGTGTGCAGGGGCACTGCTTCCATGAAGGAGGACAAGTACGAGGAGGCCGCGTCAGACTTTTCGCAGGCCCTCAAGCTGGAGCCCAACAACCGTGAGGTGCAGCAGGCCCTCCTCGCCCTCCAGCAGAAGCAGCGGCACTACCAACAGCAGTCCAAGAAGGTCATCACCAAGATGTTCACGGAAACGACTGACGACGACCAACACCAACAGACCGCCGCTGCTAACCACGCCCAAGCAGCAGCCCCCGCCCCCGTTGCCCCGCACAGCAACACCATACTGCGGCCCAAGGCACCAACAGCGGAGCTCCAGCCGCCATCCGATACACCTGCCCCTACGATGCCGGCAGAGCAAGCGACGGCGACTCAGCAAAACGATGAGAGGAGGGAGAGTGACGCGAGAGTCCCACCTGTGACGGAGTCGAGTGGTCTGCGGCACCGGGGCGGCCGGGGCGGTGAGGAGGTGATGCGGCAGCAGAGGGAGGGGGAGAGGCCTGCCAGCAGAGAGAGGGGGAGCAGGAATCAGGCTGACACACGGAAGGCCGAAGCGGAGAGGGGAGGGCAGATTGAGGTCTGTACGCAGCCAGCCACCATACGCAGCGCCGCGAGGCCGACTCTGATTGATTTGATTACGTCTGTGCGTTTGTCTGCAGAGTGGCGCCGGTGGTGGTGGCGATTCGTTGGTGTTGATAGAGGAGGTGGAGCGGTCGGTGATGCGCATCATGGGCACCCTCCTGCTCTTCTCCGCCGCACTCACTCTCTCATTCGGTCAGCCACCACACCCACACACGCGAGCGGCTGATGCGTGGCTTGCTTGGTGTGTGCTGTGCTGTGCTGTGTCTTTCGTGAGTGCAGGCGTGTGGATGCTGTGTCAGCATGGGTAAAGTCAGACAGGGCAGACACTTTTTGCGTGGCTATGTGATGCGCGTGTGTGGCCTGGCCGGCCCACCCTGTCTGTCTGTGTGGGCTGGGCGCGTGTTGACAAGGCTAGCTAGGATAGGTGTGTTGTGATGATGGAGGGTCACGAATGCTCTCTCATCGGTGTTTGTTTACGTGCCGTTCAAAAGCCGTTCACAGTCGCACAAAAGCGTCCATCAGTCAATCGAGTCAATCGCATCACACACCTACCCACCACAGGCATCGGCATCCCATCGCACGCACAGCAGCCAGTCTGTGGCGCACGGCACGCCATACCCAACGTGTACCACACCGCCGACAGACAGACAGACAAGCAAGCTGCTTAAGGCAAGCAGCGCTCCGCTCCAGTCAGGCGCCTGCTGCTCACTTCTTCTTGATCGCATCCTTGATGACACGCGATTTCTGCGCATTATCACACCACAGCAGATGGTGCGTGGTGCGAGTGCCTTCGGTTCCTGTGTGCTCCTTGGCTGTCGGTCCTATCTGACCTTTTTCCTGGCCACCATGACCTTGAAGCGCTCCAGGTCGGTCAGGTTCGCACGGCGCTTCTTGGCAGCGCTGCATTAATGAGGGAGGGACACACCATCACGCGTGGCGCCATCCCTCCCTGTCTGTCTGTCGTGCTTACAGTTTCTTAGCCCATGTGGTCTCCTCCCACTTGGAGAGGGTGCTGTCGTCCTCTAGCGCCTGATCAACACATACACCCACCTCTCACCCCCCTCTCCAACACACGCACGCCCCACGTACCTGTGCGAGAGAGTCGGTGGAGCATCCCCGGTCGACCTCGACTCGCAGGTCAGTGAGCCGCAGTCGCTTGTAGGGGATGGTCTGCCGAACCACACCCGTCAGCGGGCCATCGATCAGCGCACGACGGTCATCCACCACGTCAACTATCGTGCAGATCTACATCACACACACACACCATCGACACACACACCACAGAGTGGCCAGAGAGAGAACGGCACCACCGGATGCCTCTCTGGCTGTCTGCCTTGTGGCACTCGTGCACAGCTGTTCTCGCTGCCTCTCCTGGCTTGCCTGCCTCCCTCCCTCCCCTGCTGCAGCGCCCTTGCTGATCTGATCTGATCTGATCTCCCCTCTCTCTGCCCGCGTTTCTGTCTGTGTCTGTGCGTGTCCTTGCCCATCTTTCCCCACCTTGCCGACATCCGGTCCATCTGACGAGCAGAACAACACGCACACACAGGCACAGACGAGTGAGTGGCGGGTGATGGCTGGGATCGTAGCTTTTGTCACCGCTTACATGTGATCAGACACACACGGCCAGGCTCCACGAAACGCGTGAACGTCATTCTCACGCCAGAGGGCAGAGGCTGCGACCCTAAACCCTGAGTCAAACAGGAGAAACCCTGAACCCTAAACCCTGCATGACAAGAGGGGCGGGAGAGAGAGAGGCGGAGCTCTGGTCGGTAGAGTGAGTTGCGGCGATCCATACATCACAGAGAGGAGATGTCTGTGCAGGTGTTTTGAGTGTGTGACGGCGGCGCTTGTTCTGTGCGCACCTTGTGTGGCCATGACGCGGAACCGATCAGTGGATGGCGGAGGGTCCGCCATGGGCTTCTTGAGAGTGATCTGTTCATCGCGACACACATCAACCACACACAAAAGATCGACCATCCCGTGACAGACAGACGGCGCCATGCAGCCGCCTCCCATCCTTCCTCATTATCTCCGCATCGGCCAGCCCGAGATACCTGTCCAGCACCCACCTGTATCTCTTCCTTGCCATGGCTCTTGCTGGGCGACAGCGCCCGTTCTTGTGTATGTAGCCGGAATCGGTGTTTGTCAACGTTCTACAAGGCAGCCAGTGCTCTCTGCTGCCATCTGTTTGTCCGCCGGTGCCAGTGCAGGGAGGGGTAGACAGGCCGTATGCATGCTTTGCATGTACATGCTGCTAGTTTAGTGCGTGAGACAACAGGATCCCTCCGGGGTTACAGACACGAGTCTCGTTAAACACACTAACCAACCAACCTTGCGTGTCCTGGGCCTTCAGCGTGCCGTATCCGGGCATGTAGATGTAGTTTAGGGGCGCAGTGGTCTGGATCTTGTAGGCCACGGGAGCATTGGTTGTGTTCTCAAGGCGCAGGTTGGCAGTGACAGGGCTGTCCAGCTGCACCGGGAACTCTATGGTCTTCTCTAGCGTCACCGACAGCAGCGGCGTGAGGATGATGTTCACACCTTCACGTTTTGCCATCGACAGGAACAGTCGGAACAACCTGGTTGGTTGGTTATTGTGTTTAACAACCTGAAATCGAAAGAAAATTGCAAGCTTGGGGCCATGCGGACGTAGGGAATGGCCGCGGCGATGGAGGTGGTCCTGTCGCCTCGCGGGGCGGTCATCTTCCATCAGGTGGTCAAGTGCCACCAGAAGGTGGGCAAGGAGGTGGCTTTGGAGGCGACGGGCGAGGAGCTGAAGATGGCCACCATGAACGACGCCCAGACCGTCACCATGGTGTCCAGCTTCCACCGGTAAGCACCACCGGCTTGGTTGGCTTCATGGGATGGATGACGATGGCTGGCTGCAATGGCCGGGTGGATGGATGTGTGTGAGATCAGGTCGTTCTTCTGGTCGTTTGTGTTGGATCCGAACGACCCGTTCCGCGCGACGGTGCTGACGCGGCTGCTGGTGAATGCACTCACCAAGACGCCCAGGGGCGACAGGCTCGTCATGAGCGACAACACCAGCCACGCATTCCTCTCGATACTGTCAGTCAGTACTTACAAACACTGAATGCCTGCCGTGATGCCATCCGTGTGGATGCATGTGTGTGTGTGTCCTGTGCGTGTGCGTGCGTGTGTGTGTGTGTGTGTGTGTGTCCTCCCTCTCAGTGGTGACTCGAAGCATGGCATCTGCACCACCCAGTGCCTGGCCTACCGTGAGAGCGACCTCGCCGCACCACTGCCACACATCGGTGCGCCACACACGCACCCACACCCACACACGGCCCCACACGCACGCAGAACACACCAATGACTGACACGCACGCCCCGCCTCCATCGCCTTGACGTGCATCCGTGTGTGCAGGTCAGCGCCCTCGGCGTCACGTCATTCGTCTGTCGGCCAAGGACCTGGACACCGTCATCCGCCACATGGACAAGAAGGCGGGCGGGGGCGGAGGGCGGGGCGCCAACCTCACCCACGAAATGCGGCTCTGCCTCGACCGCGGAAACCAACACATCAATGTACCCACGCCACGCACGGACTCATGGGGAGGGAGAGGGTGACATGTGGGCTGGTGTGGTGTGGTGTGTGTTGATGTGTGTGGTCAGTTCCGATCGTACGATGACGTTACTGAGGACCCCATACCGAAGGACGACGCTGCGCAACAACCCCACCAGCAGCAGCAGCAGCAGCAGCAAGCGGTCAAACGGACGACCAGGTCCATCACCATCACTGGAACCAGCGTGAGCCTCTCCTAACCCCCCCAACACACACACATGAATGGCATATTGTGTAGCCGTTTGTGTGTGTGTGAATGTGTTTCTGTGTCAGTTCGCGTGTTTTGACATCGGCCACAGCAGTCAGGGTGACGGTGGTGGTGCGTCCGGTGCGGCATCGGGCAGCCGTGGGTCGACACAGGGTTCGGTGCCGCTGCCCAAGGAGAGCTGGTTCGTCTTTCCTGTCAAGGAAATCAAGGCACTCACTGCTTTAGCTGGTCAGTCCAGTCACCACACGGCCTACACGAGTGGGCAGGGCAAACGTGTGTGTGCTCATGTGTCCATCCATCCATCCATCCCTCTCTTCGTGTGTGTGTGTGTGTGTGTGTGTAGCTCAAGTGCATTCAGAGGTGTCGCTGATCTTCAATCGGCCGGGGCGTCCTGTCGTTGCCACGGTGGGCAAGAGGAGCACAGCGGGCGTGTGGCAACCGTGCAACCATCTGAATGTGCGTGTGGTACTTACTGTGTTGTGTTATGGCTGATCAGATCGGTGTGAAGGCCCAGATGGCCAGCCATGACGACGAGTACCTGTTCCAAAACCTCACCGACGCCCTCATCCAACAGCTGGGCACTTACGACATGGGCCACTGTGAGTGGACGGAGGGATGGATGTGTGAAAACCTCTCTGTGTGTGTGGTGTCTGGTGTGTTCGTTCAGTTGAGACTGACGCGGGGAACGAAGGGGGCCCGGTGACAGGTGTGTGGCTGGATGGATGGACACACAGAGGCAGACACAGACACCGGCTCGTCGTGTGTGTGCTTGGTGTGGTGTGTCGATCAGCCAACTTGCACGCATGGGGCAGCATTCTGTGGCTCAGCACCATCGACGTGAGCAGGCAGGAAGGAGCTGGGGAATGACACACGGGGGCAACCATCTGTCTGTCTGTCTGTCTGTGTGTCTGTGTGTGTGGATAATCCGCGTCTGTGTGGCAGACCGACATGGAGCCCTACGACGACGACATGTACTTCGACCCAACGGAGAACGACCAACAGCAGCCGCAGGTACGCTGCACCACCACACACCCCCGCACACGCACAGACACTGACTCTTCGCCGCCGCCCCTCCCACTTGCTCTCAGGATGCCCCCCAGCCCCCACCAGCTGCGGCAGCAGGAGCCGGTGCACCGCCCCCGCCCGCCCCCAACGATATGGACGATGAGGGCCTGGACGACCTGCTGGACGGTCTCAACGACGAGTGGCTGCAGCAGCAGCGGCAGCAGCAACAACAGCAAGAGCAGCAGCAGCAGCAGGGCGGAGAGGAAGGGGAGGGCAACAACACCGCAGAGAAGGAGGATGGGATGGCTGAAGGCGGCGGTGAGGGTGAGGGTGGGATGGAGGTGGAGGTGGAGTGGGAGGGGCCGAACCCATTTGCAGGACAGCACCAGCATCACCAGCAGGAGGAGGAGCAGGTGAGAAGGAAGGAGAGAGAATGGGTGGGCCGGTAGGTAGGTGTGTTCTCGTTGGTATCTCTCTTTTCGCCTGTCTGTTCAGGCATCGCAGCGCATCAACCGTCGCCCTCTGAATCCCTCGCCACGATACGCCAACAAACCCCGCACAAACAACAACAACAACCAGCAGCAGCAGCCGGCTGCCGCAGCTGCAGCTGCGGCAGGTCAGTCACACTCCACAGACTGAAGCACGCCGCATCCACCCTCCTCTCTCCTGTGGGCATGTGCCTGAGTGCAGGTGGCGGCCTTCGTCTGGGCCAGGCTATGCGCCGCACACGCAACCAGCACCAGCAGCAGCAGGGCGCGGCCAACGACAACGGTGGCGTTGGCGGTGGCGGAGCTGCGGGTAGGGGCGGTGCCAATGATGGTGACGATGAGGGCGAGGACGCCAATTTCGGGAGGCACATGTTCGGCGGCTACGTCACTGACCCACGGTAGTCGCTAGCTACTGCAGGCACACACCAGGCAGACAGAAGACAGACGAGACGGATCCCTCCATGCCCTCTGTCCATCTGTGTGTGTGTGTGTGCGTGTGTGTGTTTGTTGGCAGCGAGCGCATTTTGGCCAAATCCAAGGCCAAGCCGCGTCAGAAGCCTCGCAGGCGGTGGGACGACGTCGAAAGCGACGAGGAGGACTTCTACGACGATCAGGCTGAGGATGAAGAATATCCCGCCACGCCACCACGGGCAGGTACGCACGGGGTAAGGACTGGGTGTCAGTCAGTGGTGGCTTGGGTGTGTGTGTCAGGTAACGAGCGTCGGGTGCCTTTGGAGGAGTGGATGGACATCGAGAAGGCGTTCGACTGGGGCAAACCGAAGAAAAAGAAGAAGAAACAAGATGCGTAGAGTCGTTGGTTGAGGGGGCAGGGCAAGGAGGCGGGGGGCGGCAGATGAGAGACATGTAGATCGGTTGCTGCATGCTGCGTGGCGTGGATCGATGCATGTGTGTGTGACTAGCTAGCGAGAGACATCCATCCACGGCAATCAGATGAGATGTAGCCATGAATCGAGTAGTGTCATTGATTGTGTTGTGGGTCCACACGTCTTCCCCAGCGCCTGCCTGCATCCACACACGCGTTGCTGTGCTGTATGCTCCTCACCTCACTCGCAGTCCACACGAACCGCTTTCACACGATTCACACGCACACACACACATATACACACACTTGCGATGACAATACGATCAACGATACCCACACACACTCACACACAGAGGGCAAACCCCTGCCGTGTCATAGAGGGGGAGGGAGGGAGGGAGGGAGGGAGGGAGGGGTAGCTAGTCCTGTACACACCATCTAAAATACCTACACACAACATATGGATCTATGCAAAAACTTCCCCTCTCTCTCTCTCTCTCTTCCTTTGACCGACGACAGAAACGAACACGTCACAGGGGAATGAGAAGCCCATACCCACACCCACAGCCACAAACCCACCGACACATTTCACTTACCTGCCGGCAACCAGGTGAGAGATGCACATGCCATGATAGGCACGGCACCCATGCCCACGACAGACAGGCAGGTCACGACGGCAGCTCAGCAGCAGACAGAAGTGACGAAGACACGAGGGAAAACAAGCAGAGGAGGGGAGGGAGGGGGGGCGGGAGGGGAGAAGAGAAGCCGAAGGCAACAAGGAGAAAGACCAAAAGGAAACCCGTCACCAACCACCGTACCGTAAGTGCCACCGACGCACGTGTCTCGCCCTCGTCAAGGCAAAACTTTCGGACGTCGCGTTGCATTAGTTAGGGACACTGTATTGCCCAACCGACAGGGAGGCAGGCAGGCAGGCAGTCACCCGACCTACTCGTGCGACCCCTTTTTGTTCCTCTTGACGAGCTTGTGGCTCTTGGCCTTCTTCTCCTTCCTGGCCACTTGTGTGTCCGCCATCTCAGCAATGCTCTCGGTCTGGCCTTTCTCGCCCTTGGGCGTGGTCTTCTCCTTCTCGGCGGCCATGGACGACGCACGCACCCAGGAGGGTATCCAGTGGGTGGGGTCGAAGCCTGCCGCAGAGGCCATGGGGGCTGAGGAGAGGAAAGATGGACACGGAGGACACCATCAGAAAGGTCTGTCGGATGCTGTGTGTGTGTGTGCTCTGTCTGCGGCGTGGTTGCTGACCGTGACTGTGGTCACCCTCATGAGGGCCTGCGTGAAGTTCTGCACCCACCACCAACAAAGATCAGATGACACCAGAGGGTGCGTTGTTTGTGGTGTGGAGTGGGTTGCGCATCGCATCGGTCCCCACCTCTCTTGAGTCCGTTCCTCTTGCCAGTCCACTCCTGCCGCCACGACCAGACGGGCTGCTTGTCGCCCATGGTCGTCTGCGTGCCCTCCTCCGACTCAGCGGGGAGCTCGCACAGGCCCCTGAAGGCGTGGGTGCAGACCTCGTCGCCCACCACGCCGTGGATTCCCAACGGCGCCAGGTTGGTGTTGGTCTCCTCGCCCTCGCCGCCCGGCCACACCGAGCTCACGTAGTAGCTGCATTTCTGACCCTCGTCCAGATAGTTGTCGGGCTGCTCTGCCGGGCCGGGCCAGTAGCTCGTCCCTGCCACCCCAGCCACACACACACAGGGAGATGGAGATGGTGGGTCTCGCCAGGCGACAGGGGGAGGGGGGTG